TGGCTATTTTCACTCCCCTGGGATGGAGAAGAGAAGCAGAAATGTTTATGATTAATTTGATGATTACACAAGAGATAATTGCCAGTTATAAGATGAAGCCTTTCTCTCAGATGGCAAAAGAAAATCATGTTTACCTTATCACAGCCAAATTTCATCTGGTCCTACTTAGTAGGGAGGGGAAAAATAGTTTGTTTGGGTCTCTGCATAGGAAAAGGCACATTAATTAAAATAAGCCAGCCAGAAAACTGAGTCTGTGAAAATAAAATATATCACCAAAAGTGACTTATTGGAGGTAATTGTTCTTGTATGTGGAATAATATTTGCACAATTTAAAGATAGATAGTAATCCATTGTTTTGGAGTTATCAAAGATTTCTAATATTCATTTCCCTTTACAGAGATCTGCCATGAGGCCCACAAAAAATGAAACTTCCGCAAATGAACAGGAGTGTCACTGTGGACCTCTGGAAAGTGACAACCACTTGTCTATTTGGCCTACAAATTGACACAGCCTGGCAGATTGGTGGGGGTGGGGGTCCAATAAACTCTTTATGACTAGCTGCTTTGCTTTCTTTCATTAACTCTAAGCCAGAGGAACATAGTCTGCTTGCTAGTCACCTTTTCCATGCTGCATTTGCTGGTGGTATTTGAAACCCAGTCAGATGGGCAGGGTATAAATAATAAATAATTCTTCTTCTTCTTCTTCTTCTTCTTCTTCTTCTTCTTCTTCTTCTTCTTCTTCTTCTTCTTCTATTCCTTCATGGTGCTCACTTCTGAGTGTGATAGGCTTCATCTTTCAAATGTGCATAGATTCAGCTCTTCAAGGGCAAGGGGGACTTCCAGCTCTTCCAAGACAGAGTCTAGATGTTTTCAATTGCTGTGTGAGAGACTTTGTTTTCCCATGAGGAAGTACAGTTTCTGATAGATCTCTGCCCATCTCTTCATCTGCTTGCTGCAGTCTGTGATGATCTCTAGGCAAGGTTTTCAGTGGTGCAGTTTTCCTATTGCTTCTAATGCTGATTCAGTTCCTTTCTATGACAGTGTTGCCTCTCAACAGTGTTGTCCCTGTTGAGTTGAAGACTCTGACACAGCTTTAACCAGTAGTCATTGGAACGTTATCTCGCATTCTGCTAGGCATTGCTCCTTTTCTTTCCCAGTGCACACTTGCAGTTCATAAGAACCTTGCACTTTGCAGCGAAAACAAGCTCCATATTCTTAATGCCAGCCACAAACCAATTAGGGATCTGCTGCTCTTTTTTGCTGACATAGCTGTGTTGTTGGTTGCCTCTCTGATGTAGTTTCACCTTGCTTCAATGCACATTAATAGTGCCTGTTGAATGGAATCCCAGAAGCATTCACAAAATTCTCTGGCAGCAACCTGCAATCTACCTCAACTCCCATGTACCACCTTCTCTAGCTCTCAAACAGCCTTTCTCAATGCTGGGTCCCCATATGTTGTTGGACCACAACTTCCATCATTCCTGACCACTGGTCCAGCGAGCTAGGGATGATGGGAGTTGTAGTTCAACAACACCCAGGAAGAAAGCCTTTCTAAGGTGTATAGCCCTGATCTGGGTTTTTATTAGGGATTTTAAAGAGTACATGAAAAAACATTGTTCTGGAACAAAAATATCGGTACAGTGGTACCTCGGGTTACAAATGCTTCGGGTTACAAATGCTTCAGGTTACAGACTCCACTAACCCAGAAATAGTACCTCGGGTTAAGAACTTTACTTCAAAATGAGAACAGAAATCGCATGGTGGCGGCAAGGCGGCAGTGGGAGGCCCCATTAGCTAAAGTGGTGCTTCAGGTTAAGAACAGTTTCAGGTTAAGAACGGATCTCTGGAACGAATTAAGTTCTTAACCCGAGGTACCACTGTATGTAATGAGTGAAGTTTTGCAGGGTGAAAGAAATGAAGAAATGGTTGTAATAGGTACAAAGCTAGAAGTAATATAAATATAACACAACAATTAAAAAGATTGAAAATTTGAAGTCCCAAAACAGTGGAAGGAAGTCAAAATCTATGTATGTTTTGTTATGTATTGTGAATATTATGGGTGTTTTTGGTTTTTTCCTTTTCCTTTTTGGTTTTATATGTATAATTTATGTTGTACATAATTTTGCATGGGGGGAATAATGAAATCACATTATTATTTTTTATTTGGTATGTTTAATTGGCTTTATTGTTTGCATTATGATGTGGCCTGATTTAATTTGATTTGATTTGTTACCAATTGGAATGTTATTAATGGACATATATATATATATATATATATATATATATATATATACATATATATGTGTGTATATATATATATATATATATATATATATATATATATATTAAAGTTTATCCATTTTTTCTACCAAACACCAAACAAACAAGTTCAAACCAAGTTTGTCCCTTTGTTCCCATGGATTACACCCAGTTTCTCCATCCCTCTGCTTTTAAAGATGTGGTGCTTATGATTAAAAACAGCAATAACTGGGTGTTGGATTGCTTCCATGGTTGTCTCCTCACAAAGCATTGCATTAGCATGCAATAGTGATTTGATGGCTGTCCAGCAAAGCAGTCAAACAAATATTTGATGTTCTCTATTGCTTTCCTTCCTCACCAATTTATTTATATTTATTTTACTTGTCAGATTTCTATGCCACGCAGCCGTATGTATGTAAAAACACATACATGCATAACATGGTAACAAACAAAAATAATACCCCCCACCCATAGTTTGCTTAATTAGTCAAAGGCCTCAGCAAAATGATGAACAACAACCAGCGTTGCCCTGCCAATGACCTTTGAATTACTCCTGTGGAGAAGAATTTGGTACAAATTATGTTCTAAATCATGAGTGCAGGTTTAGACTAATATAGAAACTCTTCAGTCAGCAAGTGGCAGCAATATTCTCGGTGGATTTAGATTTAAAAGAAAATGGCATGTTATACATCACAGCAAGCTCTTTGAAACCCTTTTATTTGTCATAAATAAGTGTGTATATGTCTGTGTGCACATTGTGATTTTGATTGGAGCCAAACTACATGGGAAGGGAGTAAACTCTTTCATCAGCCCATGGTGATCATATCAGTCTACCCAGGCAGTTTCCCACTCATGCATGTGCTGATTTGATAGCCTTCTGGCCACTACTTACAAGTGGGTTTCCAACACAGCATTTGTTTGCTTGTTTGTTTGCATTCTGTATATGCTACCATAAAACAAATAGGTCACTCAGTGTTTCATTTATTTATTTTTAATAAGTTAGAAATGACAATGAAATAAATTTCATAGGTGCTCAATGTTAAGCCAACCCTAGACATTCTTTGAGATTAAATCTACAATTTTACCCCTATAGTCAATTCCATACTTTTTTTAGCCATTGATTTATTGCATGGATAAATTGTAGCTGCACATGACTTTGGCAGTACAGTGGTACCTCGGGTTACAGATGCTTCAGGTTACAGACACTTCAGGTTACAGACTCTGCTAACCCAGAAATAGGGTTAAGAACTTTGCTTCAGGATGAGAACAGAAATTGTGCAGTGGCGGCATGGTGGCAGCAGTGGGAGGCCCCATTAGCTAAAGTGGTACCTCAGGTTAAGAACAGTTTCAGGTTAAGAATGGACCTCCAGAACGAATTAAGTTCTTAACCCGAGGTACCACTGTAGACATTATTTTTAGCATTTAGCAATGCTTTGTTTTTCCAAAGAAAATGGCCTCACTCTGACTTTCCCTTTGGCATTTGCCCTTTGGAGAAAATTGTAACCAATCCACAACTTTTTGTGCCACTAAAGAACAGAGGTAGCATATGGACCAACATGTTTTCTATCAAAAGGGCCACTCAGGATCCAATCTCTGAATAAGTGATTTTCTCCCCCTGCAATTATCTAAATCACAAAAAATGGGCGCTGCCCAGAGACTGCCCAGAAGGCATCATGAAACAATCAACAAGTAAGCCTGAAAGTGTTTATAAATAATCCCCCTTGGACATAAGAGCATAAGGCAGACAGAGCTTTGTTAGCAGCCTTCCTGATGTTTCTTCTGCCCACCCCTATAATACTGGTCAGATGTCATTTCAAAGTGTTTGTAATCTCAGCAGTTAATCAAGATGTTCAGAGTCAATCATTTAATAGTAAAAATACAACTGATAAATTATTCTTCTGCAGCTGTATTGACACAGTCAGACATCATTCAACAAAACCTATTTAACTAAGGCAGGTGGTATGGATGGGGAAAGGAAGGACTGTATTTAGAATGAAACTTTGTTGACAGTATGTTGCCACTATTGGTGTTGCTGTTTCTGCTTCCTCCCATGGTGTGCAGGCTAGATGATGTGACCAATCTTCTCCTTGTTCCCCATGAGTGGTACCAGCCAGGTGACCTCATCATTGGTGCAATTACTTCTCAGATATTTTACGTTTTCTCTGAAATTGAATTCAAGGAGCACCCTTCGCAGAAAATGTTTGAGGTTCCACAGTAAGGATCAATCCCCATTCTCCATCTTCTGGGCTTGGTCAGTTCACAGGGGAATTGTCTTGATAACTGACAGAAATCCTGTTGGCCAGCTCCTCATTCTCAATCACATTTTGAATTTTGTGCATTCTGCTAAGCTTTCAGGAAGTACATATGGACTTTATTCCAGTATATTCTCGGGCATTTAGTGTATTTATACTGCTGATATTTCATTGTTGTTGTTGTTGTTGTTGTTGTTGTTGTTGTTGTGTTTATTGAGCTTAATTGCTTTTTTAGTGTATTGTGTTATGTTTTGAAAGTCAACTAGAAGCTGATTTTTAGTAGTAAACTAATAAAACATATAATAGGAATGTTTCTATTTTTAGCAAGGAACATAGGAACAAGGAGAGATATCTGAGAGTAACACTTCTTGGAACTAATGAAATTGATTGTAATCAACAAAAGCATACCCATATTAGGTTTATTAATCTTCAAGGTGACAGTAGACACTTCATTTCTCTCTCTCTCTCTCTCTCTCTCTCTCTCTCTCTCTGTGTGTGTGTGTGTGTGTGTGTGCACGCACACTGATTTTTGTGCATCATTCTTAGATATTTTGCAGGATGCTTATTTGTTGCACACACACACACACAAACACACACACACACACACTTCATGTTTCTTGAACCCAAGCAACTAGTAACAAAAAATTGAAGGGGGAAACATAAACACTGGGTGGTATTCAGAGTAGAACCATTGAAATTAATTGCGATCACTCAATAGCCAATCATTAACCAAAACAAGGGAAGAACCTTCTGGTACTTTAAAGATTAAGGATTGTATTCAGACTAAAACTGCCATCTTACATATTACTCATCCATCATCACAGGTCATCTGATTTAAAATTAATAGGCTTGCACTGTAAGTTTCCTCCCACTAAAATGAATGGATCTTTTTAAAAAGTCAGATTAATTTATTGGGAATAAATGGGAATAAGTGTAGCAAATATGAAGCAGTTCCATATATGCCTATTCCTGAGTAAACCCACTTGTTTCAGAGGATTGTGGTTTGCAGCAGAAAGTCAGACTCCAAGAGGTGTCAAAATACTATGCAGAATATAAATGCACTCATGCAGCCTATATTATATGTGTTCTAAGGAGGAAGGTGTCTGTTAGCTCATAAAGAATATGTTTATTTCCTGCATTGTAAACTTTTCTTCTGAAATGGTAAATTAATTTGCTTTGTTTGCAGAATGCTGACAAAATTCTACCAGCACACCATTGCTGTAGCATTTGCTGTGAGGGAGATCAATGAGAATCCAAAGATCTTACCCAATGTCACACTTGGGTTCCATATCCATGACAGCTACTATGATGCAAGGATGACCTATTGTAGCACTCTAGGTCTGCTCTTCAAGTTGCATAGATTTGTCCCCAACTACAAATGTGACACCCAGAAAAACCTCATAGCCATCATTGGAGGACTTGGCTCTGACACGTCTTTCCATATGGCAGACATCTTAGACTTGTACAGCATTCCACAGGTAGGAATGTATTGGAGACATGGGAATTTCCATAGATAACACTGTTCCTGTGTCATTTGTCTGCCATTCCTATGCTGCAGATGGAAGCAAAAAAGGTTCATATTGAGGGACTCTGAGTTATTGGGGTTTGGGGTTCCATTGATCCCTGAATACAATATCTGAACAACTGTTGATAAAAAGTGGAATTGAAGAAACCACTCCCTCTACAATTCCTGAGGGATGACAATTCCTAGAAATGGTATACTGTTTCCATATCTCTAGAAAGTTTAGCTGAAATACTCCTAGCATAATACTCACAGAACCTACAAACAACTTCAGGAAATATTTCATGGACAAACAAGCACATTCTCACATATAACAGCCCTAACACATCTCTACCCTATTTCATCATTTATTTTTAGCTGACATATGGTTCATTTCCTTCAAAGGAGAGAGATAAAAGACAGGTTACTTCTTTGTACCACATGGTGCCCAATGAAACCCAAGAGTACATGGGGATTATCACATTGTTGAAGCATTTTGGATGGACATGGATTGGACTCTTTACTGTGAATGATAACAGTGGAGAACATTTCTTACGGATAATGGAATCCTTGTTTTACCAGAATGGAATCTGCTCAGCCTTCACACGGCAAATCCCACACGTACCCCATTTCAGTACAGTTGGTGATCTTATTGACCTAGCCTCAAATATTTATATACCATTCACAGATGATAAAGCCAGTACATTTATCATCTATGGAGAATCTTTGACACTGACGTGGCTGACAGTAATTATAGTTATGTGGGATCCTATAAATAATGAAATCATGTCGTTAAGAAAGGTGTGGATCTTGACAACCCAGATTGATTTTGTATTAGCAGGCTTTCAAAGAGAATGGGATCTCCAATTCTTTCAAGGCACCATTGCGTTCTCAAGTCATTCAAAAGAACTTACAGGGTTCAAGCATTTTCTTCAGGTTGCAAAGCCTTACTGGACCTCAGGAAATGGTTTCCTCAAGGATTTCTGGGAGCAAGCATTTGACTGTACATTTCCGACTCTTCATGAGCCAACCAAAGTAAATGAAACATGTACTGGTGAGGAGAGATTGGAGAGCCTTCCTGAGCCACTGTTTGAAATGAGTGTGGCTGGCCACAGCTACAGTATCTACAATGCTGTCTACATTGTGGCTCATGCTTTGCAAGCCATTTACTCTACTAGAATGAAGCACCGGATAATGTTGCGCTATAAAAGATTTGAACTTCAAGACCCACAGCCTTGGCAGGTAATGTCATGGAAAAGAAACCTTATTCCAATGAACTAATTTGTGCAAGGCGCTACTACATATGGATAGCCACTCACAACTAACTAATGTAATGATGATGATGATATTGATAATAATAATAATAATAATAATAATAATAATAATAATAATAATGGATTTGTGCACTGCCTTCCCAAGATGATCTTTTTTTTAAAAAAAAAGCTACAATGATTTTTAAATTAGAAGAAGAAAAGCAGAGTTAAGGCTTAAAAACAACAGAAAATGAACACCTAGGCAGAGATCTTTTCATCAGTCTGGAAAATCACATGAAAAATAAGAATGCCTTGACTCATTTCCAGAAAGTACAGATAATGGACGCTTGTAACTTAACAATAATATTGTTGTACAGAACACGGGGAGCCCCAATGAAAGTCCTACTCTGAGTTATTGTGAGCATCTGATATTTTGGAATTGTCCTACTCAGAGTAGACCCAGTAAAGTTAACAAACTTAATTTAGTTATGTCCATTAAATTCAAGAGTTCTACTATGAGTAGAACTAGTACTGAATGCCAGCAATAGTGTTGTATTTTTCATTCACAGATGAAGTTTTCTGAGTATATTGGGCCTGGATTTTTAATTTTTATTTTTAGTTTTCAACCAATGTTTAAAACATTTTACATTTGCAGCATATATTTTTCCTTGGTCTTTGCAAAATAGCTCTTTTTATGTATTGATCTTTGTTGGATGAAGCTATTTAAACAATATTGGTTAGGGTGGGTTTTTGTAAATGTTCACTATGTTATTATGCTGTGTCTCTTTCTCTTTCAATTAGCTCACTCTTTTCTTCAAAGAATTTATTTTAATAACTCAGCTGGAGAAACAGTTTCATTTAATGATAAAAGAGAAATAGGGGGTGGATTTGACATCATGAATTTTGTCACATCCCCAAACAAGTCCTTCCGTCAAGTGAAAGTTGGATGGGTGGATCCTGAAGCTCTTGAAGGAAAAGAATTCATCATTCATGAGGACATGATTGTGTGGCACAATGGTATTCACCAGGTTTGGATTCTAGGGTATTCTTTGGCTTCCCTTCATTTTCCTGATGTGTCATTTGGATACATGAAAATCCCCTTTTCTGTACAATCATTTCTGTTTCTACTGGATAGGACCATAGAGAATATGAAAGGGGACGCAGACAGCACTGTGGTCTGAACCACTGAGCCTCTTGGGCTTGCCAGTTGGAAGGTCAGCAGTTTGAATCCCCGTGACGGCATGAGCTCCCGTTGCTCCGTCCCAGCTGCTGCCAACCTAGCAGTTTGAAAGCATCCCAGTGCAATAGATAAATAGGTGAAAAGGTAAGGATAAAGGACCCCTGGGAGGTTAAGTCCAGTCAAAAGCAAATACAGGGTGCGGCACTCATCCTGATTCAGGCCAAGGGAGCCAGAGTTTGTCCAAAGACAGCTTTCCAACTCATTTGGCCAGCATGACTAAACTGCTACAGGCGCATGGAGGACCGTGACAAATGTCAGAGCGCACGGAAACGCTGTTCACCTTCCCACCGCAGCAGTACCTATTTATTTACTTGCACTGGTATGCTTTCGAACTGCTAGGTTGGAAGAAGCTGAGACAAGCAATGGGAGCTCACCCCATCACATGGATTTGAACTGCCAACTTCCTGATTAGCAAGCCCAAGAGGCTCTTTGGTTTAGACAACAGCACCACCTGCATCCCTAGATAAATAGGTACCACTGTGATGGGAAGGTAAGCGGCGCTTCCATGCGCTCCGAGTGAGATGACCACTGCACGCCATAGGCACCTTTGACTGAACTTAACCATCCAGGGTCCTTTACCTTTACCTTTACCTAGAGAATCTCACTGCCCTCCACATCCAAAATTCAGATGCAACATTTTGCTTTGCCAAAACAATGCTGTATTTTGGCAGGTGACGTGTTCATGTTGTGTCTTTCTTAAATATGGGAGGTTCTCTGAAATTCAGAACAAAATTGTTCTGATGCCACAAGTTAGCCATCACAATTTCTACTGGGTTGTGGTCACCAGAACAAATGCTTTGAATGGGAAAAGAATGTCAATTCCTTGCATATATCCAGGGCTTGAAGCTACACTTCCTGACATTGTGTGTGGAGAATCTCAGTACCAGAGGCTAATGCAGACCAGATCTGTTTAGTCCTCAAATACCTACCAGGTCATGCCCCCTCTCATTGGTGAATGCATGTGTACTTAGCTGGACCACAAGTTACAAAGGTAAGCGTTACATTCATTGTCCAATTTTGCAGTTAGTATGAAAGTCCCATATTTTTACGTATGACTGCTGGAAAAAAATTCCTTACCCCTGAAGAGGAACAGGGCAATATCAAGGCTATATCTTGATGATGATGATGATGATGATGATGATGATGATGATAATAATAATAATAATAATAATAATAATAATAATAATTTATTATTTATAGCCCGCCCATCCAGCTGGGTTTTCCCAGCCACTCTGGACAGCTCCCAACAGATTAAAAGCAGAATAAAACATCAAACATTAAAAACTTCCTAAACAGGGCTGCCTTCAGATGTCTTCTAAAAGTCAGATAGTTGCTAATTTCCTTGACATCTGATGGGAGGGCGTTCCACCTGGAAGCACCACCGAGAAGGCGCTCTGCCTGTTTCCCTGTAACCTCACATCTCGCAGTGAGGAAATGCCAGAAGGCTCTCAGAGCTGGACCTCAGTGTCCGGTCAGAACGATGCAGGTGGAGATGCTCCTTCAGGTATACTGGACTGATGCCGTTTAGGGTGCATTACTGACTTGAGTATTCAATTTCTTTGTTTGAACAGCAGAACTTTTTATATTGTTATTTTAAAAAATCTTCTCTGTTTGTGGACAGGTGGTGCCTATTTCTGTGTGCAATGACTACTGTCACCCTGGCAATCAGAAGAAAAGGAAGGAAGAGGGGAAATTTTGCTGCTATGATTGTGTCCCATGCCCAGAAGGGAAAATTTCAAACCAGAGTGGTATGTTATAAACATAAAGAAAGAATAAATGTCTGTTAGGCAATGAAGTTATTCATCACCTTTTGATATATTGATTTTTGCCTAATTTCATGGTTGGAGTGCCAGAATGCACCAAAAAGGATGTTATGCAGTTTCCCGTCACTCCCAGTATTCCATTTGTTAATACAACTCTTACATGCTGTACATCACTATAATAGATACATTCTATTCCAATACGCTAACCCTTGAACAAATGGATTCAAATTAATAGGAGCAGTAGCTACCATGTGAGAGGCAGAGAAATTCACCATGAATCCTAAATAAATTGCCACTGGAATGTGAACTTGTTCTATTTCCCCCCCCTTTCAGATATGGACGACTGTTTCATGTGCCCAGAAGATCAGTATCCAAACAAGAACAAAAACAGATGTGTTGCCAAAACTCTGAACTTTCTTTCTTATGAAGAACCATTAGGGATCAGCTTAGCCTCAATTGCTATTTCTTTTTCTCTAGTCACAACTTTTGTGCTAGCAATATTCATTAAGCATAGAAACACCCCCATTGTCAAAGCAAACAACCGGGACCTCACGTACACCCTCCTTATCTCCCTCCTACTCTGCTTTCTCTCTTCTTTCCTATTCTTTGGCCAACCTGGCAAAGTGACTTGCTTGTCCGACAACCAACTTTGGCATCATCTTCTCAGTGGCCATTTCTTGTGTGTTGGCCAAAACCAACACTGTGGTTGTAGCTTTCATGGCCACTGAACCAGGTTCCAGTATGAGGAAGTGGGTAGGGAAAAGACTGTCTCATTCCATTGTCCTTTCTGTTGTGTTATCCAAGTAAGTATTTGTATTGTGTGGTTAGCAACCTCTCCCTCATTCCCTGATTTAGACATGCACTCAGTAACTGAAGAAATCATTCTGCAATGTAATGAGGGGTCCATTGCTATGTTTTATTGTGGCCTGGGATACATGGGTCTCCTGGCTTTTACCAGCTTCATTGTGGCCTTTATAGCCCGCAGGCTACCTGATAGCTTTAATGAAGCCAAGTTTATTACTTTCAGCATGTTGCTATTTTGCAGTGTTTGGTTGTCCTTTATCCCAACTTTTCTGAGCACAAAAGGGAAATACATGGTGGCTGTGGAGATCTTCTCCATCTTGGTCTCCAGTGCTGGGTTATTGGGTTGCATCTTTGCCCCTAAATGCTATATCATTGTTCTGAAGCCAGAACTGAACAGCAGAGAACAACTAAGGAGAAGAAAGAATTAAAGGAACTCTTGATTCTCCCACCTTTTGTATTGTTTGTGTTGTTTCATATGAAGGATACTGATTTTGGGAAGAGCTTTTGGTTGGTTGTCCAGCCAGAACTTGCCAGAACTCAGTTTGGGCACCTCCCTGGTGGGTGCCATTGCCATTGTAAGGAAACAACAGAGGCATTTATGGTGTGTTCCAGCACCTCTTTTCTAGAAAAATAACACTGAATTTAGGAGAAAATAGATTAATATTAATCAGTGAAATTTATTTAAATGGTCTACTTTGGGTGCCTTCAAGCAAAGTGGTTATTGAGAATTCGTTCTTCACAAAGCTTGTGGAGAGGTTATATAATGTCCTTTGTTTATTGAGCATTCACCCCTATTTGGTTGGAGAGAGTTTTATGATTTACCAGCAATTATGACTAGCAATTATTATTCCATGCGTTTGAATGTATTCTCCCCACACACACTCCTTATTCCATTTTTTGAAAGTTTGCTTGTTGCACAAGCGCACTTTAATTCACTTTAATTTCAAAAAGCTAAATTTGCCAGTATGGAATTTATTCCCTCCTTCAAAATAGCAACAGTCTGGAGGGGACTCTGGGCTTTCCATCATTTCTTTTGCTGTTCCCATTCCCTCTCAGCCAGCTTATGAACTGCTAGGTAAAAACCACAAAGCCTGGCTTCCTGTTTCTGGCGGTGAGAAATGGCTGACTCCCACACAATCGGACCCCAGCCGTGGCAGTAATTCAGGGTTGATATGGGGGTAATTAGCCCTGGCAGACTCCCCAGGGTGGGGGAGGACTGTCTCGTAGACCTGCAGATTGTCCAGGATTGTCAGCTTGCATCAAGGTGCAAGTGTCAGGACGCTGGGTCCCAGAGCACAAATCAGCTGGCCCTCTCCGAAGTCACTCTCATAAGCCGGAAATATCTGTTTGATAAAATAATTAGATTTGGACAATAAACAGACATAGTCTGGACTGAAGAAGACTGAGAAAAAACCAGAAAACGGCACATTCCCTGGTGTATAAGCTCAGACTTCAAAAGAGATTTTCATCATGGTGTTTGGATGACGGAGGTGATTGATATGTCCTTTTTTCTCTTCTTAATATCTACAATTGTTTTTCTATGCCAAGGCTCACCAAGAAACCTATTTTTTGAAAAGTACAGATGGACTTCTATTTATAATTAAGTACTCAATTGCGCCGCTTTACTCAGACTTGAAAGACTTGATAAAGATAAAAGAAGAAACAAGATGGCGCTTGTTAATACGATGCAGCATGGAAAAATGAGAATTCCTCCCTTTTCGAGGGAAGTGGGAAATACCTGCTAGCTGAGTTTATAATGACTTGAGACAACAATTTGGAATAACAGACAGTGCATCTGTTTGCAGAATTTCTTCATTATGAGCGAGAGAGAGAAGCTAAATGGATGTCTAGCAACCCCGCTCTAGGGCCCGGGGGGATTGTGTGGTTTCTGGGAAGGCTGATTGATCGCCAAATAACTTATTCTGTGGAATACAGTTCATTTACATTGAAATATTGCAAACAGTATGCTTAACAATTTGACAATGGGAAATCATTGAGTACAGCAACAATTTAACAACGTATAAATTTCAAACGACTGGCTTGGATAACAGATCGGATTGGAATGATTTAACTACTTGGGAGTTGATGTGTCATTAAACTTCAAATGATAGACTTGGACAACAGCCCGGATTGGAATATTGGAATAAAAGCACTGGAAATAGAGAGTTGAATATATATATATATATATATATATATATATATATACACATATATATATATACACATACATACATATATATACACAAATAAAACTGTATTCGATGGATGAAAGGATATATGATTTCTGACATGATTGAGAATTGCACAGCCAGGGATGGGGAACCTTAAAGCAATAAGATCGGAATGTGGAAAATATGAGAACAACAAGAAGAAGGCAGGCATGAAGATATTGGAGATATACTTCAGAGGTCCAGACTATGGAAACCCGGAAAATTAATAATTTGGACTGCAATTTGGTTGTTTTTTTTATCTGAGTTTATTTTTAAATGGATTATGATTATGGATATGTTAATTGGCTGTTTTATTGGAAACTGATAAAAATGATCTAAAACCAAAACAAATGACAAAGCCTGGGCTCCATGATGGATTCTGCAAATTTCCAGTGTAATATGTTCAGTGTTCTGTGTCACACCCTCAAGTTTATCGTTAATAAAGTTGTGACAGTTTATGTCTCATGAGACTCATTTCCAGGTGTGCTGGCAATATGCATAACTTTTTAATAAAAGAATGTTATTGATAACATTGATAAAGGTTATTCTATTTTCCTGTCAGCCACAATCTCAGTTTGCATTAAAGGAGCTTGTACTAGATGACTCTTCAGGTCTCTCCCAACTCTAGAATTCTATGTTGTCCAAGAATGGAAGCCAGCTTCTCAATTTCCTGCTTTTAAAGCAGTCCGAATTACAAAAAAGAATATGGCTCACTAGAATAGTTTAATAATATATAATAATAATAATACATAATAATAATAATATGAATAGATACTCTTTCTGAACATGACTGATGGCATTCCTTAAGATTAAAATTTATTATTGCCACTCATTTACTCTCTCTCTGAGATTTATTTCTTAGAGGAGAGATAAGGAAACTTTGCCCTGCACCATATTAGCCCCTGCCTACATGGTCAGTCGTTGGAATGATGGAAGCTGTATTCCAGCAGCACCTAGAACCCCACAGGCTCTCCATTCTTGGCAAAAAGAAATTGTAGCTTTATATTTCTTTAATAAAACTGCAGTTGACCAACCTCTTTTTCATCAAAGCCAAAAGTTTCACTCTCAGTTTTCCTTTGGTGTTTGCTCTCCATGGAAAATTGTATTTGTCACTTTTTCTGCCCCTACGGAGCAGGTGGTTCAAAGTGGGGGCAGCTCAGCATGTTTGTTAGCAAAACTACTACTTACAGCCTAACGCAATGAAAACGTAATTATCTCACCCAGCAATTATCCAAATCACTATACTTTGTTCACTTCTCTGAACCCTTCGAGGCTTCCTAGAACTCAGAAATCAGTCAATAAGCAAACCTCAAAGTGGTTATAAAGAAACCCCGTGCTAATGGGAGCAGGAAACTGGAATAAGATGCGTCAAGTGTCACATGTCGCACTTACACACACACAAACACATAAACTATTGATCAGATTTAGCATCACAGTGTTGGCAATCTTGGCTAATAAGGTATACAGCTGTAAGCCTTTGATTCTCAAATGCTGATTGCAAACCATTCTTCTAAAGCTGTATTGACAGTGATAGGAATTAACCAATGTAGCCTGTTCAAGTCATGCAGCTGCTCTGAATGAAAACATCACGGGGTGTGTTTAGAGAAAAGTCTGACCACTAGGATGCTGTGGCTGTTGATGTTGTCTCTTTTCCCTCTTGCTGTGTGCAAAGTAGATACTCTTAGGTGTCCCATGAATTATCCATTCTCTGCTCCACATCAGTGGTACCAACCAGGTGACCTCATCATTGGTGGCATTGCTTCTCAGGTCTATTATGTCTTCTATGAAGTTTCCTTCAAGGAGCACCCTTCACAGAATATGTTTGATGTTCCATAGTAAGAGCCTTCCACCTCTTTGCTTCATTCCAAATCTCCTTTGCTTTTGTGTCATGTGTTTTAGATTGCAAATCTGAAGATAGAGATTGTCTTTGTTATTTTTTCAGGTGCTGTGGGAGACTTGTACCTGAAGAGAGGCACTAAAAATGCTTGAATCAATACATCTACCACTCCTCAAGGAGTCATTTATAATTATTGACAGAAAATCTTTTGAACTAGCCCCTGGGATTGGTGATCCTGATTTCTTTATAAAGGAATGTCCTTCATTTTGTCTAAATAAAAAATTCCTCCCCTTTAGAGAAATAAATAAAAAGACTTTTAAATATAGAACAGTCAACAGCTTTCAGGAGTATAGTAGATTGTCTCCCAAGATTCCCACTGGGCAACCAAGAGAACTGAGAAGGTCAAGAAAGAGATTAATAATGTGTTTCATAGTTTTAGGCATCCCCTGAGAGAGCATAATTTTTATATGAAGTGCACTGAGTTTATTAGCTTAGAAACATCAATGAAAATTAAAATAATTTCATGACACTCTAAATCAATTTGAGCTAAAAATTGCATTGTGGCATGTTGATTTCATATTCCAAAGTTGTACATTAATTAATTTTGCTTGCAGTGTGTTAACAAAATTCTACCAGCACATTCTTGCCTTGGCATTTGCCGTGAAAGAGATAAACAAGAACCCCAAATCTTGTCCTAATATCACTCTCGGCTTCCACATCTATGATAGCTACTATGATGCCAGAATGACCTATCGTACCACTCTTGACCTGCTCTTCAAATCACATAGATTTGTTCCCAACTACAAATGTGACACCCAGAAAAATCTCATAGCCATCATTGGGGGACTTAGCGCTGACACCTCCTTCCATATGGCTGACACAATTGGCCTCTACAAGATTCCACAGGTAGGATATCTGAAAAGGTATCACAAAATACACTTTTGTCTTACCATTCTGGGAGTCATTTTGAACTTTAGAAAAAGGAGGGGTTTTTGAATGACATTTAAATTTGAATTATTATTATTATTATTATTATTATTAGGTTAGGTTGACCTAAGCTCTCACATGTTTCTTTCACAGGCACTTCATACCTCAATTTTTTAAAAGTGCTTGCTCCTTTTTCACTTTCATCCCAAACTTCCAGGCCGTTTTTTCTTCCTTTTCTGTTAATGTCCCTTCTTTTTCTTTTTTTAATGTCTACTCTAGTTATCTGTCTTTCTCCATTCATTCACATTTTCAATTTTCCACTTCCCTTTCATTAAAAAAAAACTTGGGGCAGTTTTTACTGTTTTCTTTTCTTCTTGTTCTTGTTTATATTAGATATTTTGTACTTTTATTTGACATTTTTATGCTGAGAACACGCCAAGATCTTCAGATGAAGGGCAATATACTGACTAACTAACTAACAACTAACTAACTAACTGGATTCAACCCATCAATTATTTAAATAAATTGCTTATTTCTTGAATATATAGGCACCTGCTCCTAACCAATCTCTATAATGTACTTACATTTTCTTTTAGCTCACATATGGTTCGTTTCCCCAAGACAAAAATTATGGAAGCCAAGTACCTTCATTTTACCGCATGGTGCCCAATGAAGCCCATCAGCATATGGGGATGATCGGTTTGCTTAAGCATTTTGGATGGACATGGGTTGGGCTCTTCACTGTTGATGATAATAGCGGAGAACATTTCTTGCAGACCCTGGATCCATTACTTTCTCATAATGGAATCTGTTTAGCCTTCACACAAAGAATCCCACAAATACCCCGTTTTGATGACTTGGATGAATTTCATGATACAGTCTTAAATATTTATGTTCATTTAACAGATGACAAAGCCAATGCATTTATACTGTACGGAGAATCTCTGATAATTATATGGCTCAGAAGTATTATATTTCTAAGAGATCCTGAAAATAGGAAATCTCATCATTTAAAAAGGTGTGGATTATAACAACTCAGATTGATTTCATATTAACAGGATTTCAAAGGAGTTGGGGCCTTCAGATCTTCCAAGGTGCTATTTCCTTCACAATTCATTCACAAAATCTCCCACGATTCCAAGAATTTCTTCAGGGAATAAAACTTCACTGGACACAGGGAGATGGGTTTTTCAAGGACTTCTGGGAGCAAGCATTTGATTGTACATTTCCAAATCCCAGGGTGCCAATAGAGGTCAATGACATGTGCACTGGGGAGGAGAGCTTGCAGAGTCTTCCGGCGTCTGTATTTGAAATGAGCATGACTGGCCACAGCTACAGTATCTACAAGGCTGTTTATGTTGTGGCTCATGTTTTGCAAGGCATATATTTGACTAATTTCAAGGAAAGATCAATAGGAAACAGTGGAATATTAAAATTTCAAGATCTGCAGCCTTGGCAGGTAATGAGTTGCAACTGAAGAGTAGCAAAATATCAGACAATTTCAATGAACAGATTAGTAAAAAGTAAAAGGTTGATCACAATTGCCAGAAACAAGTAGCCACTGAAATGTTATTGCATGTCTCATTCACTGAAAAATATTTAATATCAAACAACTGATTCATGCTTGGTCTTTGTTAGAAGATGCTACTTAAGTATACGTAAATTATATCCCTAAAAAATGGTGGCAGAAAATCATGGAATTTTATCAAAAACTCTGTTGTGTTATTTTCCTTTCATGTATTTTGTCTCTTTCCTTAGCTGCACCATTTTTTGCATGACATTTCATTTAACAACTCAGCTGGAGAAACAGTATCATTTACTGATAAGAGAGAAATGCGAGGTGGATTTGACATTATGAACATGGTCACATTCTTAAATAAGTCTTTCATTCAATTGAAAATAGGATCGGTGAATCCCTATGCTCTTGATGGAAAAGAATTCATCATTAATGAGGACATGATTATGTGGCACAAAGGTTTCAAACAGGTCTGGCATCTGGGGTAATCATTCTTCAGATGGGTTATTCAGGTGTCTCAACATAACCATCACTAATTTCTTTCATAAACGCATGGAAATAATTTTGGTACCAGCTGGATGCAATTATGAACTTCCCAAACAAAACTAATCTTTTGTTTTAATAGTGTTTACTATGCCACATTTATAATGCTTACATTATATAGATAAAAAAACTGAGGCGAAAATAGGTGATATCCCTTTTAAATGGTAAGTGGGCATAGAACTTTTAAAGGGCACGTTTTAATATCTAGGTAGTGGTGTAACTTTCCATTGGTTTGACTTCACCCGAAGGTCCACTCTTCCATTGTCTCCTGTGACAGATTAGTGCTGAAAAAACCCTAACCATTTCTGTATTCCTAAAGTGTTATTACCACTCACCCAGTCTGGCTTAGAAAAGTGACTTGGGCTATGTTGTTGATGTGTGCCAGCATTGGAGAAGCACTGCCATATAATGTAGATTGTCTATCATTTGCCGGCGGCCCCCCATCCTTCTTCTTCACCATATACAATTTTAGGTAAAGTGATCACCATTGTTTAGGCCAAGTAGGTTTTCTCTCCTATGATTGTCTTGATGGTTTGGGTGGGGGACGGATTTTCCAACTTCACTGGAAACCGTATAAGCAATAATGGGTAGGTGCAGTTAGTGGAGGCAGTCTGCTAAGTGCTTGTCGGATGAATTCTAGTTCCAGAGACTTTTCCGAAGACTCTGTGACCTGTGAGGATGACTTTTACATTAACTCGTGTCATTAGCTTGTTGGTGTTGGCCTCAAAGCGTGTGTGAATAATTAATTGTGGTTGTTTAGTCGTTTAGTCGTGTCTGACTCTTCGTGACTCCATGGACCGGAGGATGCCAGTCACTCCTGTCTTCCACTGCCTCCAGCAGCTTGGTCAGACTCATGTTGGTAGCTTCGAAAACACTGTCCGACCATCTTGTCCGCTGTCGTCCCCTTCTCCTTGTGTCCTCCATCTTTCCCAACATCAAGGTCTTTTCCAGGGAGTCTTCTCTTCTCATAAGGTGGAGAAGTATTGGACCCTCAGCTTCAGGATCTCTCCTTCCAGTGAGCACTCAGGGCTGATTTCCTTACAAATGGATAGGTTAGTTCTTCTTACAGTCCATGAGACTCTCAAGAGTCTCTTCCAGCACCATAATTCAAAAGCATTCATGGGACTGAAACTGCCTTGGTCGCACTGGTTGATGATCTCCGGCGGGCTAGGGACAAAGGTGAGAGCTGTTTCCTAGTTCTGCTGGATCTCTCAGCGGCGTTTGATACCATCGACCATAACATCCTTCTGGACCGTCTTGAGGGGCTGGGAGCTGGGGGCACTGTCATACAGTGGTTCCACTCCTTCCTCCTGGGCCATGTTCAGAAAGTGGTGGTGGGGGATGAGTGTTCAGACCCCTGGGCTCTCACTTGTGGGGTGCCTCAGGGTTCTGTCCTCTCCCCCATGCTTTTCAACATTTACATGCAGCCGCTGGGAGAGATCATCAGGAAGTTTGGACTGGGTGTCCATCAATATGCAGATGATACCCAGCTCTACCTCTCTTTTAAATCAGAACCAGTGAAGGCGGTGAAGGTCCTATGTGAGTGTCTGGAGGCGGTTGGAGGATGGATGGCGGCTAACAGATTGAGGTTGAATCCTGACAAGACAGAAGTACTGTTTTTGGGGGACAGGAGGCAGGCTGGTGTGGAGGATTCCCTGGTCCTGAATGGCGTAACTGTGCCCCTGAAGGACCAGGTGCACAGCCTGGGAGTCATTATGGACTCACAGCTGTCCATGGAGGCACAGGTGAAATCTGTGTCCAGGGCAGCTGTTTACCAGCTCCATTTGGTACGTAGGCTGAGACCCTATCTGCCTGCGGACTGTCTCGCCAGAGTGGTGCATGCTCTGGTTATCTCCCGCTTGGACTACTGCAATGCACTCTACGTGGGGCTACCTTTGAAGGTGACTCGGAAACTACAACTAATCCAGAATGCGGCAGCTAGACTGGTGACTGGGGGCGGTCGCCGAGATCATATAACACCGGTCTTGAAAGACCTACATTGGTTCCCAGTACGTTTCCGAGCACAATTCAAAGTGTTGGTGCTGACCTTTAAAGCCCTAAACGGCCTCGGTCAAGTATACCTGAAGGAGCGTCTCCACCCCCATCGTTCTGCCCGGACGCTGAGGTCCAGCGCCGAGGGCCTTCTGGCAGTTCCCTCATTGCGAGAAGCAAAGCTACAGGGAACCAGGCAGAGGGCCTTCTCGGTAGTGGCGCCCGCCCTGTGGAACACCCTTCCAGCAGATGTCAAAGCGATAAGCAACTACCTGACATTCAGAAGACATCTTAAGGCAGCCCTGTTCAGGGAAGTTTTTAACGTGTGATATTTTACTGTATTTTTGGTTTCTATGGAAGCCGCCCAGAGTGGCTGGGGAGGCCCAGCCAGATGGGCAGGGTATAAATAATAAATTATTATTATTATTATTATTATTATTATTATTATTTGGTGACCAGCCTTCTTATGGTCCAGCTCTCACTTCCATACATCACTACTGGGAAAACCATAGCTTTAACTATACAGACCTTTGTTGGCAAGGTGTTGTCCCTGCTTTATAAGATGCTGTCTAGGTATGTCATTGCTTTTCTCCCAAGAAGCAGATGTCTTTCAATTTCCTGAATCATGAATACCTCACCCTATCATGACAGGCTTAGGAGCTTATGAAAGTTTTAAATATTTCCCACACATGGTCTTTTCTCTAGGCAATTTTCTCTGTGCCAAAACTCTTCCTGGGTCTAATGAATATACAGTTAGAAAATGACTATGGAACTTTGCTACAATATAGGATTATGGCTGCAAAACTTTTATATGGACGGAGATGGAAGGATCCATTATTCTAACAATGGAATAGCTGTTAAAACTATTGGACCAAGCTGAGATGGCAAAATTGACATGTTTATTCAGAGAAAAGTCATCCTTAACATTTGTTAAAGACTGGAAACCTCTCATAGACATTTTGCGTGAAAAAGAAAAAGAAACAATAACACTTTGATTTGAGGTCAACGCTGCTGCCTGAACTGAGAGCAGAGAGACAGAAGAGGTCTAAAGACAGAACTGTGAACTGCTTACCTGACCAACGGTGCCTGGAGAAGGAGGGTAAGGAGAGACACGACTGTGAGCTTTGCTTTGAGATTGGCCCACAGACACCCAGCTCTGCTGAACACAGAGAAAGATAAAGCTTGGAGATTCGGGGGTTAACTGAATTGACTGACCCCCGCCCAGCTGGGGGGCTGTGTGAACTAGCTGGGGACAACATTCCTGCTTAGTTGAAGAGGTAGTGCTGTAGCTGGAAAGACTCTTCATTTTAATAAACTTGTTCGAGGAGACCAGCTTTTATATTCTTAGAGACTCCTGGCGAAGGCACCCTCAGTTTTTTACAGGAACTTTTTAATCTACACAATAACTCCACAACAGGGTATCGGATAGGACCCTCTGGAGGTTTGGAAAACCGGCTTCAGCAAGATATCGTTCTGTGCCCTGCCTTATGTGGTAGGCCTTTGAAAGACTACCTAGAAGGAACCAGCGAACCAGCCCACAGAAAGTTTCCCTTCTGGGGCTCTTGGATATCCTTCGTTCAGTATAGGGCGGTGGAAGATGGCCTCTAAAGACTAAGCTAAGACCCGAAATACAAGGTTATCATAGCTGTACATGCGCTATAGCCAAACTCCACTATTATCCTTTTCCAGCTGCATATAAATTGCCTAAATAAGGCAATTTTAATTTTAATGTAGTTTTTAGCCGGTTTATTACTGCTGTCTCTCTGGCAGCATTGTTTTATTATTATATTCTGACTAGGTTGCAGCATTTGTGAAATAGCGCTGGTCGCATGATTGAGGTGAAAACTACAGGCTTAGGACAATTGCCAAGATCTAAAAGCAGAGAACTCAAAATAGAGAAATATATCGAGGCTGTTGATGAGCACATCAGGAAGCTGTTACAGAGAGCAGGTGGGAATATAGATTGATACCCCCACTTGCCCCCCAATCTAAGGCAGCCGCACCTGGGGTAAACTGCCCTCTCTCTATATCAAGACCACTTTTACCATGGTTTTTACTAGAAGAAAATACAAGGAGTTGGATATACTGCCTGACTTGGCAATCAGCCCCTCGGGCCCTGGTAAAAGACAAAGCAAAATCACAAATTACTTTCCTAAGATGGAGGAGGGTAAGAGTCCACAAAAAGAGTTAATTCTTGATGAAGTAATACCCCCCTCTCTTACTGCTCTTGATTGGACGTCTAATTTTAAAGAGATATACCAAGATTCTGGAAATATTAACTCCCCATGCAGCCTAGCGCAAGAACTAGCTTTAGCCGAGGAACTTCAGGAGGGAAATACCTCTATTACCAAGGAACAGCTGCCCACGGAAGAAATTACATCAACCCATCAAAACCAGATACCTACTCCAAAATACTCTCAAACAGAATTGAGTGATGGTCGCCCTTTGGATTATTCCCTAGCAATAAGTTCTGATTTAGCCAACATAAAAAATTATCTAACAATAACAAACGGGCTACTGCTGACGTTAGTAGAAAATTTCACATCTCAATTAAAAGAGTTAAAATTAAATGATATGCCACAAGAACATAAAACAGTTGAGCTAGCGTCGATGAACAAACCAGTAATAAATAAGAATCTGCAAAGACATAACTCAAGGGTAAAAGTGAAGAAAAGTAAAAATATTAAAACAACAAGGATAGCCAAGCATACCCGCAGTAATCGAAACATACATTGGCAGAAATTGTTTAAACTTCTTCCCCCAGCCCCAAATAAATCGATCACACGGGGCAGCAAAAAGAAGGGTAAAAGAGAGAAACAAAGGTAGTTACACAGCAACCGGCTAAGGAGGACTCGCCAAGGCTGACTCCAGTAGCAAGTGAGAAGGCAGAAGTAACAACTCAGTCCTTGGATAACCAACTTTTTAATAAACCTGATGCTGCGGAAGTAGAGGCCTCTTCCTATGAAGGCAATAAAACATTTAGCAAATCGAACAGCGGGGAAGAGGAAGCGTTTAGCAGAGATGATACCCCCCTTCAGACCTGGCAAGCCTCCAGTCAGGAAAGAGATTGGAATTTGATCCTAAATCCCCAAAAACTGGTATTCACGAACTTCCCGAAGCCTAAGGGCTTCCTTACAGGGAAACAGCGAATAATGAACTTTGTATCTAGTCTAAATGACATACTGCCAGGAATGGTTAATGCTAATGATATCACCTCGGTGGAATATTTACATTATGATGGTCACTCAGTGAGAGCACTGACCACTTTTAGGGATCAGAACCTGGCCAAGTATATTTTTAGGTCAAGACCTGCCTTTTTAAAAGCACGGACAATAATACTTAGGTTCTTTGAAAATAAGGCTCCTTTGAGCCCCTTTTGAAAACTAAGCAGGCAAATCTTAGAAAGGGGAAACAACTCTCAAAATCCTGGCCTGACAAACAGAACCCGCAATGCCTTGCAAGTAAAGGTGAGGATTTCTTTACTATGGAAGAAAATATCCTAATTGACCAATTCTGGAGGTTCCCACCATTAATACAAACTGACATCTTGGGAAGACTAGATAAGCTAAGAGATAAGCTGGCCGAGAGAGCTTCAGGCAACGAGGTTATCAAGGGGGACCAAAAAAAGACCACAACACGTAACCTTCAGATTAAAGCGGAGATTAACTTTCCACCAAGAGAGAATGTGCCACCCTTCAAGGAGAGTACTCCATCACCCCCGAAGAGAAATATCCCCAAGGTGACCCCACAAGACGTATGGGACAAAATGAGATACCTAGATGAAACAGAATTGGGCCAAAATCAGGCCAAAACAGACTATCCACAGAAGGAATTTATGCATAATAAAGATCTGGTGTTCACAAACGTGAGCACTTTGCATCCACCTATTGAAATCATAGAGCGGCTGGATAGCCCGCCATTTAAAGACGATAGGCGCCCGATACATAAAGCGACAAACCCTAAAAGTACGTTAGCTAATAATTGACAAAGATTTGATTGTGATAAAGCCAATCTTAAATTTTTATCATGGAACATTGCTGGTTGGCTCAACAAGGCGACTGACCAATCATTTGTCAATTTTATTCAAGATCATGATATAGTCTTCTTGCAAGAGACATGGCTAACAGGGGATCTAGATGTAAATGGTTTTGCCTCATTTTCGCTCGCAGGCTCACCAAGCAACAAAGGGGGACGAGTTAAGGGTGGGCTAGGCATTTTAATATCCACAAGGTTGAGAGCATCTTTCGTCGAGCTGGAGCCTCTGAGCAGTGTGGCCATGGCATTATTGATGAAATGCAGATATTGCACATTCCTATTGATTAATATATATGCCCCTCCCCAAAGAGGCAAGCAGCTTATCAAAAATCTCTGGCATAGGATAGAATCTTATGTCGATGAGCTAATGAATCAAACTCCTGCTGCGGCAGTGCTGCTGGCTGGGGATTTAAATGCCAGAATTGGCCAATCAGACGAAGCGTTATATGCTCATTTTCACGACGTACCTCCCATTTCTGAAGAAGCCCATTCTATTCCCCCAAGGCTCTCAAAAGACAAGGGCTGCAATTACGCAGGCCTATGTCTTCTACGTTTTTCCAACAATCTGGATTTGACTGTATTAAATGGTCGTGTCGACAGAGAACCCAGTGGGAATTTACATTTATATCCAACATGGGAGCCTCCACTATCGATTACGTCCTGGTGTCATCTAACCTTTTGAGCAGAGCACGGGAATGTAAAGTGGTGGAGAGGGTTGACAGCGACCATCTACCGTTCTGTTTAATACTGGATGTAAGAAAAGATTTATTTTGCTCTGATAAACTTGTAGCCCCATGCTTCGAAAACATGGAGCTAAGATACTCACGTATTAAATGGTCCAGCAAATTGAGTGATGAAATATCGGAAAGACTTCACTCAGATATTTTTCTTGCTAGAAAGGAGAACCTCGTTAATTCCCCAACTCCTGAGGCCAGATTGGACATGTTCCGGGAACTGATTTCGTCGCTACAACCTTATCTGACCAACAAAAAAAACGCCACGGCAATCTCTACACTTTAATAAATCCAAACCTTGGTTTGACCAAGAATGCATGGCCATGAAACGCCTCCTGCTGGATAAGTACAGGAACTATAGAACAGCGAACTTACCTTCGCTTCCATTAGACTGGTTTGAGTCAAAACGCAGTTATAAAGCTTTGATTAGCAAGAAAAAGCTCCAGGCACAAAGGAGGAATGGCAGTGCCTAGTGGAGGCCTCCCAAAGGAAAGATTCTGCCACGTTTTGGAAAATAATTGCAAAAGCTGGAGAGACTCCCCGATTGAAATCGAATACTCTATACCCGCTGGAGCATGGGAGGCCTATTTCCTCTCATTATATTCATCAAATCAACTGGCCCCAGCTCTGCTTCCTGCTTCAAGTGAATTTGGTAAGGAATGGCCCCCTGTAACCATAGAAGAAATTACTGGACTTATTCAAGCTCTTAAATCAGGGAAAGCCCCGGGTGCTGATTGCAGATGACACCAAATTGGGAGGGGTGGCTAACACCCCAGAGGACAGGATCACACTTCAAAACGACCTTGACAGATTAGAGAACTGGGCCAAAACAAACAAGATGAATTTTAACAGGGAGAAATGTAAAGTATTGCACTTGGGCAAAAAAAAATGAGAGGCACAAATACAAGATGGGGGACACCTGGCTTGAGAGCAGTACATGTGAAAAGGATCTAGGAGTCTTGGTTGACCACAAACTTCACATGAGCCAACAGTGTGACGCGGCAGCTAAAAAAGCCAATGCAATTCTGGGCTGCATCAATAGGAGTATAGCATCTAGATCAAGGGAAGTAATAGTGCCACTGTATTCTGCTCTGGTCAGACCTCACCTGGAGTACTGTGTCCAGTTCTGGGCACCACACTTCAAGAAGGACATTGACAAACTGGAACGTGTCCAGAGGAGGGCAACCAAAATGGTCAAAGGCCTGGAAACGATGCCTTATGAGGAACGGCTAAGAGAGCTGGGCATGTTTAGCCTGGAGAAGAGGAGGTTAAGGGTGATATGATAGCCATGTTCAAATATATAAAAGGATGTCATATAGAGGAGGGAGAAAGGTTGTTTTCTGCTGCTCCAGAGAAGCGGACACGGAGCAATGGATCCAAACTACAAGAAAGAAGATTCCACCTAAACATTAGGAAGAACTTCCTGACAGTAAGAGCTGTTCGACAGTGGAATTTGCTGCCAAGGAGTGTGGTGGAGTCTCCTTCTTTGGAGGTCTTTAAGCAGAGGCTTGACAACCATATGTCAGGAGTGCTCTGATGGTGTTTCCTGCTTGGCAGGGGGTTGGACTCGATGGCCCTTGTGGTCTCTTCCAACTCTATGATTCTATGATTCTATGATTCTATGATTCTATGCTGACAATATCCCTCCAGAAATTCTTAAGGCAAATGTCGAATGGTGGGCCCCTGTGCTAGCCGCCTTGTTCACTAGTATAAATCAAGCGGCTATTATCCCCGAGGACTGGGGTTTAGCCATCATCATTCCAATATTTAAGAAAGGAAACAGAACTGAGCCAGCTAACTATAGACCAATCAGTCTATTAAGTATTATTAGCAAACTGTATGCTGCTCATTTATGTGATAAATTAGTGGAGTGGATGGAAAGAGAGCATATTCTATCAGAAGCTCAAGCTGGTTTTAGAGCAAAGCGTTCAACTATAGACCAGGCCCTTACCCTTCAACACCTGGCAGACAAATACTCTAGAAAAGGGGGGTCTTTATATGCAGCATTCGTGGATTTTAAATCGGCGTTTGATCTAATACCAAGGGATAGACTCTGGGAAAAGCTTGGCGCTACAAACATAGATAAACGCTTATTACGCCTTATCCGTGGTCTATACGAAAACACCAGGGTGAGGGTAAGATGCGATCGGTCAGGCCATCTAACTAAAGAAATTCAAACGCACTATGGGGTTAAACAAGGATGTGTCCTCGCGCCAACGCTATTTAATTTCTATATCAACTCTCTAGCAGTAAATATGGCGAAAGAAAATGCCCACCCTCCCAAACTGGCAGGTATTCCCATCCCGGTGCTTCTGTATGCGGACGACGCAGTCCTACTCTCCTTTTCCTGCATTGGCCTGAGGAAGCTTTTGAGATCACTTGCTGACTATTGTCAAGCGGAACAACTATCAATAAATCACAGCAAATCTAAAATTATGGTGTTTTCAAAAAAAAGAAGGAAACACAAATGGAGAATTAATGGTCAACCTATTGACCAGGTAGCAACTTTCAAATACCTGGGAGTAACTTTTCAGGAAAGGGTCTCGTGGCATCAACAGATGAACAACGCCATTGCCCACGCAGGAAGGGCTCATCAAGCCCTTACAAGATTTTTTCACGGGAAAGGGGTAAATACGTTCCGGCGGCCTCCCAGGTTTTGCAGCAAAAATACTTCCACAACTTACTTATGGATCCCAGGTTTGCAGTTTTAAAAATTTTGCGCCTATGGAGGCATTTCAAACAAAATTCTATCGGTGTTTATTGGGGATCCCCCCCTGTGTATCTAATATAGCTGTCCGCTTAGAAGTTGGACAACCACCCGTTAATGCGCGGCTGTGGATTCTAAAGATACACTACTGGTTAAAACTTATTTTTCCCCGGCCGGTTTGGCTCCTTTAACACTCTTAGACACCTTTCATTCCACCTGGAAAGCTTCCCTGTTTGAAAAGATAAGAAGCCTGGGATTCTCCCGCAGATCTTGATAGCGGCAGGATATGAGAGAGCCAGAAGTCAAGTGCTCCAACGCATTAGGGACATAGAGCTGCAATGTCATATGGGCAAAATGGATAAACATGCCATAATTAGAGACTTTGGGAGAGGGTTCTCACCCGCAAATTATTTGGCTGATTTACAAATACCTAAGTACAGACACTCCTTTACCCTGGCCAGATTTAACGTTCTGCCCTCTGCCCTGCTGCTAGGCAGATATGAGGGCAAACCATATGAGTCACGTGTTTGCCCGTGTGGCTCATCGGAAGTGGAAACAAGTCTGCATGTATTGCTGCACTGTAGTTACTATGAGGATCTACGTTTGACCTTTATTGCCCCAGTTCTACAAAAGCTTAAAAATGAACCAGAACTCCAACGTATGAGAGCCTTGGTAGAAGACAAGGTTTCTGAAATTACGATCAATGTGGCCAAATTTTGTGTAGCCGCTATTAGGCGCAGGAAACAAGAGCTTTCCAATGGCATTACGCAGGCGAAGGCAAATACTTAATTTTTATTTATGCTGTCTAATTTTAAATTGCAGTTATGTATTGAAATTGTCCTTTGTTTTTTCCGGTGTTATGCTTAGCTGACTAGCTGTACGAGTTAATCTGGTCTGTGACCGTTTAATAAATTTGATTTGATTTGATTTGAGGTCCGAAGATAATGTTTGTGTATAGAAAGTGACATTCTAGCTGTTATATTGGAGTGGATAAAGTGAATATTGTTTATTTATCGTGAACAGAGGAAGAACCAGAAGTCAGTTACATTCTGAATTTTATTTCTCTCTCTCTTTTAACCTCTTTTCTATTTCATTTTCTTTGTTTCTCTCTTTCTCTTTCTTTATCCCTTTCTTCCTCCCACACCTCTTTATGTTTTTATTGTATTCAGATCAAAGTCTTAGTTTGGACCCAAAAAAAAGAGGGAAAATATTTGATATTAAGTTTTGTATTTTTATCTATAAACCCTCATAAAGTTTATTTAAAAACCCCTCTCCAAAAAATAAGATAATTTCCTGTTGACAGGTGGTGCCTATTTCTGTGTGCAATGACTACTGTCACCCCGGTAATCGGAAGAAAAGGAAGGAAGGGCAGAAATTTTGCTGCTACGATTGTGTTCCATGTCCAGAAGGGAAGATTTCAAACCAGAATGGTAAATGACATTTTTCATCATACAAGACTAGTAATGATTAATGAGTCATATTGACTGAAAAGAACTTACATACTATGTTGTGCATGTAGCCACTATCCTCCTTAGAGTGGCATGAACATTTTTTCTGATGCCTTCCAGTAACTTCTTATAAAAACTTTCAAAAATGAATATTAATTAAAATGTTTTTAAAAATGCTACAATATGTTCAGCTCAAAAGGTAATTCAGATAATATTACATGACCACCAATTTCCTTAATTTCAGAAGATTGAGATAAACAGGTGCAGGGGCTGGACTTAAGGGAACAAGATTGAGGGAAATGGTGGAGGTTGCCCTCCCTTCTCCTGAAGCTTCCAGTGGAGAGGAAGGCAGTACAGTGGTACCTCAGGTTACAGACACTTCAGGTTACAGATGCTTCCGGTTACAGACTCCACTAACCCAGAAATAGTACCTCTAGTTAAGAACTTTGCCTCAGGATGAAAACAGAAATCATGCAGTGTCAGTGCAGCAGCAGCAGGAAGCCCCATTAGCTAAAGTTAAGAACAGTTTCAGGTTAAGAATGGACCTCCAGAACGAATTAAGTTCTTAACCCGAGGTACCACTGTATTGAATAACACTTGTTGGTTTAGGAATGTCACAGCTCAGAGAGAGATGAACAGAAGACTTGGGAGGTGAGACGGAGCAGCCAGCTGACACGTCATCACTGGAGAGCATTTCTGCCCCTCTTCTCCAAGAACTCAGCGTTCATTGAGTGTGCAAGAGCAAAGGACTCCGAGACAGCTCCTGGCAGCCACCATCAGGGGAAGTGCTGTTGCTAGGAAGGGAGGCAGGAGGAGCTCATTTGGAGCAACATCATTAATCGGGAGGCAGACTGATTCCTTTGTCTCATGCTGTGATGATTTAACAAACTCATTAATAAGAACTCTTTCTTGTTTTTCTCTGCTCCTTGTGGCCACCGGGGGAGGGAAAGAATTACCCGGAGTCTGACAAGAGGAATGATAACTTAGATTTAAGAGGCAAAGAACACTCGTGAATTGCAATTGGAGTTTGGCCTTATGCTATTTTTTCAGATATGGACGACTGCTTCAGATGCCCAACAGATCAGTATGCAAACAAGAACAAAAATGGATGCATTCCCAAGTTAATAACCTTTCTTTCCTATAAGGAACCTTTAGGGATTGGCTTAACATCAGTTGCCGTTCTTTGTTCCCTAATTACAATTTTGGTGCTGGGAACTTTTATTAAACACAAAGACACTCCCATTGTCAAAGCCAACAACAGGGATCTCACCTATGCTCTCCTCATTGCCCTCCTACTCTGCTTCCTCTCATCCTTTCTCTTCATTGGACACCCTGGCAAAATGACCTGCCTTCTTCGACAACCCACTTTTGGCATCATCTTCTCCGTGGCTGTTTCTTGTGTGTTGGCCAAAACCATCACTGTAGTTGCAGCTTTCATGGCCACCAAGCCTGGGTCCACTATGAGGAAGTGGGTGGGAAAAAGACTGAGCAACTCCATTGTCCTTTCCGGCTCACTCATTCAAGTGAGTATTTGTACTGGGTGGTTGATGACCTCTCCCCCATTCCCCGATCTAGACATGGACTCTGTAGCAGAAGAAACCATTGTGCAATGTAATGAAGGCTCAGTGACCATGTTTTACTGTGTCCTGGGCTACATGGGCCTCCTGGCCATTGCCAGCTTCACTGTGGCATTTGCAGCTCGCAAATTACCTGACAGTTTTAATGAAGCCAAGTTCATTACCTTCAGCATGTTGCTGTTCTGCAGTGTTTGGCTTTCTTTTGTTCCAACCTATCTGAGCACCAAAGGAAAATCCATGGTGCTGGTGGAGATCTTCTCCATCTTGTCCTCCAGTGCTGGATTGTTGGGCTGCATCTTTGCCCCCAAATGCTACATCATTGTTCTGAAGCCTGAGCTGAACAACAGGGAGCAACTTATAAGGAGAAAAATGTAAATATTTCTCCTAAGTATTGCATCATAGTTCTTTATTCTATTAAGGAGTTTAGTATAAAGTTGTTACTATAAGTACCTCTGGTCTCTAACTCTTTTGTGGGAAAAGTACCAGCATGTACTAAAAAGTTCAGATTTGTGAAATTAAAGTGGATTAAATGTTATGTCATCCTAGCACAAGCATAGGGGACCGCTGGCTGGTGGGCCAAATTTGATCTAGGAATGACCATTCCTGACAATCCACACTCATCTATCCCTCATCTGACTATACAATTGACAGTAAGTGTGGCAAAGGTACCAATTATTTCAGAGGGACAATCCAGAGCTTTAAGTGAGTTCCTGATCGTTCATTTGCCATAAGAAGCAGCAACTGCTAGAAAGATGGATGCAAAGGCTCAATTCTGCAGTGGAAGACACTATCTGCTCCAAGACGATGCATCTGTGGAAATGTGCCTTCAAATAGTCTCATTGCCAGGCATTGCGACACCAAGTGATTGAAAGTTGAAGCCCTCCAGATGCTGAGAAACTACAACTCCCTTTATCCCAAGCAGGTCTGGCTAGTGGCTAGGGGTGACGGGAGTTATAGGTCAGCAAAATTTGGAAACGCCAAATGTTCCCCACCACCTGCTTTATATAACAAGTAAATGATATTTAGATGAAAACACTTGAATTTATTTTAACATTATTGTTTAATTTATTGTTCAGTGTTCTATGTCACACCCTCAAGTTTATTGTTAATAAAGTTTTGACAGTTTTTGTGTCATGAAACTCATTTCCAGGTGTGCTGGCAATATGCGTAAATTTTTATTTTAAAAAAATGTTATTGATAAAGCCACTTCCGGCCTGCCCAGGAGGTGGGGTTGCGGGCTTCACGCCCACCCCCCACATGAGCGGGGGCTGGTTTCAGCCCCCGCGAGAGCAGGGGAATCCCGGCCGTGTCTGCCCTATTTAGGGCCGGCGCAGAGGGGGCTCGCCCTCTTTTCGCCGGCTAGCCCCCATGTTTTCCCACCCTCCCTCCCTTTAGGTAGTTCTCTGACTTTGCTATGGACTTCGGTCTGTCGCCGCATGGGGCATGGTAGGAATTTTTCCCAATTGGCAATTTACAGCCATTTGGTTTCTTGCCTACCTCGTAGCAACTCGTCACAACTCTTCGGCATTGGCGGTAGGCATTGGTAAGAAGGGGTTAAGAGGATGTGGGGGGGAGGAACGCCATCACCTCCCCCCAGTGAGCGAAGGGTGGTCCGTTAAAGGCCCTGTCCAAAGCCTATGGAGGTGTGGGCCAAAGGCACGCCCCCGAGCGGTGACCCAGGGGAGCTCCTAGTCGACATGCCTTGGCAGGAGACTCCCCCGATATAGTGTTAACCCTCCCCCGTGTCTCCAGCAAATGGGCTGGAGCCGGATAGTCATTAGAACCAATGCCTAAGCCAATGCCTCTCATTCCTGAATTCAATAAAGTTGTGGCCTAATTCGCCCAGTTAACCTTAAACTATGGTGTCTCGTGTCTTTATTTATCCTGGTGGGGGGCGGGAACTCGCCACGCAACATTGATAAAGGTTATCCTATTTTCCTGTCAGCCACAATCTCAGTTTGCATTAAAGGAGCTTGTACTAGATGACTCTTGAGGTCTCTTCCAACTCTAGAATTCTGTGATGCCCAAGAATGGAAGGCAGCTTCTCCATTCCCTGCTTTTAAAGGGGTGCAAATCAAAGAAATGGAGACCAGGTGTTTTCTCCTCAAAACATATTCTCCATAGCAGGTCATATTGGTTTGTCGGTTGACAGGCAAAGTGGTCAAACTTGTGGTTTCCTCTATAGGTCCCCTCCGGCCACCTTCCCACAGCTGAACTGCCAAACACATTTTAATTACCACTGTGGGGAATTAGGTAGGATATGCATTTTAAATGATGGATGCAGATTTAGTTTACAGATTAAAGAGATTTACTATTCATTCATATATATTTATACCACACTCTTCCTCCCAGAGCAGCAAATAAGCAAGAACAACATCTTGAAAACACTTCTGGGCAATTGTAAACTGATTCTATTAATTTATAGATGCCATACATAGAGATGCCCCTTCATTGATCACTGCCTTGCCGTGGCGAAGGGGCTTGAATAACTCAGAGAAGCTATGAGCTATGCCATGCAGGGCCACCCAAGATAGACAGGTCATAGTGGAGAGTTTTGACCAAACGTGATCCACCTGGAGCAGAAACCGGCAAGCCACTCCAGTATCCCTGCCAAGAAAACTCCATGGACAAAGACAACAGGCATATAAAAGTTATGACACTGGAAGATGAGCCCCTCAGGTCGGAAGGCGTCCAACATGCTACTGAGGAAGAGCGGAGGACAAGTACAAGTAGATTCAGAGCTGATGAAGCGGCTGGGCCAAAGCCGAAAGGATGCTCAGTTGCGGATATGCCTGGAAGCGAAAGGAAAGTCCAATGCTGTAAAGAAAAATATTGCATAGGAACTTGGAATGTAAGAACCACAACCTTGGTAAGTTTGATGTGGTCAAAAATGAGATGGCAAGAATAAATATTGACATCCTGGGCATCAGTGAACTAAAATGGACGGGAATGGGCGAATTCAGTTTGGATGACCATCATATCTACTACTGTGGGCAAGAATCCCGTAAAAGAAATGGAGTGGCCCTCATAGTCAACAAAAGAGTGGCAAAAGCTGTACTGGGATGCAATCTCAAAAATGACAGAATGATCTCGATATGGATCCAAGGCAGACCTTTTAACATCACAGTAATCCAAGTTTATGCACCAACCACTGGTGCTAAAGAAACTGAAATTAACCAATTCTATGAAGACTTACAACACCTTATAGAAATGACACCAAAGAAGGATGTTCTTCTCATTATAGGGGATTGGAATGCTAAAGTAGGGAGTCAAGAGATAAAAGGAACAACTGGCAAGTTTGGCCTTGGAGTTCAAAACGAAGCAGGGCAAAGGCTAATAGAGTTCTGCCAAGAGAACAAGCTGGTCATCACAAACACTCTTTTCCAACAACACAAGAGACAACTCTACACATGGACATCACCAGATGGGCAGCATCGAAATCAGATTGATTATATTCTCTGCAGCCAAAAATGGAGAAGCTCTATACAGTTAGCAAAAACAAGACCTGGAGCTGACTGTGGCTCAGATCATCAGCTTCTCATAGCAAAATTCAAGCTTAAACTGAAGAAAGTAGGAAAAACCACTGGGCTGGTAAGATACAATCCAAGTCAAATCCCTTATGAATAAACAGTGGAAGTGAGGAACAGGTTTAAGGATTTAGATTTGGTGGACAGAATGCCTGAAGAACTATGGATGGAGGCTCATAACATTATACAGGAGGCAGCAACGAAAACCACCCCAATGAAAAGGAAATGCAAGAAAGCAAAGTGGCTGTCCAACGAGGCCTTACAAATAGCGGGAGAGAGAAGGCAAGCAAAATGCGAGGGAGATAGTGAAAGATACAGGAAATTGAGTGCAGATTTCCAAAAAATAGCAAGGCGAGACAAGAAGGCCTTCTTAAATGAGCAATGCAAAGAAATAGAGGAAAACAATAGAATGGGAAAAACCAGAGATCTGTTCAAGAAAATTGGAGATATGAAAGGAACATTTCGTACAAAGATTACCATAATAAAAGACAAAAGTGGAAAGGACCTAACAGAAGCAGAAGACATCAAGAAGAGGTGGCAAGAATACACAGAGGAATTATACCAGAAAGAAATGGATGCCTCGTATACCCCAGGTAGTGTGGTTGCTGACCTTGAGCCAGACATCCTGGAGAGTGAAGTCAAATGGGCCTTAGAAAGCACTGCTAATTACAAGGCCAGTGGAAGTGATGATATTCCAGCTGAACTATTTAAAATTTAAAAAGATGATGCTTTTAAGGTGCAACACTCAATATGTCAGCAAATTTGGAAAACTCAGCAGGGGCCAGAGGATTGGAGAAGATCAGTCTACATCCCAATCCCAAAGCAGGGCAGTGCCAAAGAATGCTCCAACTACTACACAATTGCACTCATTTCACACGCTAGCAAGGTTATGCTTAAAATTCTACAAGGCAGCCTTAAGCAGTATGTGAACCGAGAACTCCCAGAAGTGCAAGCTGGATTTCGAAGGGGCAGAGGAACCAGAGACCAAATTGCAAACATGCGCTGGATTATGGAGAAAGCTAGAGAGTTCCAGAAATAATAATAATAATAATAATAATAATAATAATAATAATAATAATAATGGTTATTCCATCTGAAACACAACTGTTGACATTCCTTAAGATTAAAATTTACTATTGGCCCTCATTTTCTCTCTCACTCTCTGAGATTTATTTGTTAGAGGAGAGATAAGGAAACATTGCCCCGCACCATATCAGCCACTGCCAACATGGTCAGTGGTGGGAAATGAGGGAAGCTTTATTCCAGCAGCACCTGGAACCCCACAGGCTCCGCATTCTTGGCAAAAAGAAATTGTAGCTTCACATTTCTTTGATAAAACTGCAGCTGACCAGCCATCTTTCATCAAAGCTAAAAGTTTCAGTCCTACTTTTCTTTTGGTGTTTGCTCACCATGGAAAATTGTATTTGTCACTTTTTCTGTCCCTAAGGAGCAGATGATGGAAAGTGGGGGCAGCTCAGCATGTTTGTTAGCAAAACTCCTACTTACAGCCAAAGCAATGAAAAAGTAACTATCTCACCCAACAATTATCCAAATCACTATACTTTGTTCTCTTCTCTGAACGTTCCCAGGCTTCCTAGAACTCAAGAAATCAGTCAATAAGCAAACCTCAAAGTGGTTATAAAGAAACCCCATGCTATTGGGAGCAGGACACAGGGATAATGCTCATGTGTCACACACACACACACACACACACACACACACACACACACACTATTGATCAGATTTAGGATCACAGAGTTGGCAATCCTGGCTAATAAGATATACAGCTGTAACCCTTTGATTCTCAAATGCTGGTTGTAAAACATTCTTCTAAAGCTGTATTGACAGAGCTAGGAATTACCCAATGTAGCCTGTTCAAGTCATGCAGCTGCTCTGAATGGAAACAGGAGGTGTGTGTTTAGAGAAAAGTCTGACCACGAGGATGCTGTGGCTATTGATGTTATCTCTTCTCCCTCCTGCTGTGTGCAAAGTAGATACTCTTAGGTGTCCCATGAATTATCCATTCCCTGCTCCACATCAGTGGTACCAACCAGGTGGCTTCATCATTGGTGGGATTGCTTCTCAGGTCTATTATGTCTTCAATGAAGTTTCCTTCAAGGAGCACCCTTCACAGAATATGTTTGATGTTCCATTGTAAGAGCCTTTCCCCTCTTTGCATCATTCCAAATCTCCTTTGCTTTTGTGTCATGTGTTTTAGATTGCAAATCTGAAGAGATATTGTCTTAGTTATTTTTTCAGGTGCTGTGGTAATCTGGGCAAAAAATTCAAATGATAAGACTAGAGGCATGTCTAAAGTTGTCTTTCAATTTCTCAAAAGTTTTCTTCCCACATTAAAGAATCCTAAGTTTTTCTGCATTTGCAGGGAACTTTAGTAATTTTTCAAGGTATGAGGTTAAGCTTATCTCATTGTTGTGCAGTGGACAATATGTGTGTATATATTTTATTTACAAATCTATTTTAAATATATATTTATATATAATTATTTTATAAAAAATATCAAAGTAGCTTACATCAGAAATACATAAAATCAAGCAGTAAGCAAAGTTAAAAGCCATATTAAAAAGCTAAATGTGTGCATGTTTTTCTTTCTAGTAAACATTTATACAATGCTTTCAAATTGCCTCCTCTGTGGAAGGAGATAACTCATGTTGTATTTCCCTGAGTTTTAAAATAATGTTGGGAGATGGTGAGTCTGGCTGGTAAGCCCCTGGGATTAGTGGTCTTGCTGATTTTTTAATAGAAGGAATATCCTTCATTTTGCCTAAATAAACAATTTCTCCCGTTTAGAAAAAGAAAGAAAAGGACTTTAAAATATGTAGCAATTGACAACTTTCAGGAGTATAGTAGATTCTCTCCCAAGATTCCCTCTGATGAACCAAGACAACTGAGAAGGTCAAGAAAGAAATTGATAGCATTTGTTTCAAAGTGTTAGGCATGCCATGAGAGAGCATAATCTTTATATGAACTGCACTGAGTTTAATAGCTTAGAAACATCAATGACATTTAAAATAATTTCATGTCAATCTTAATCTGTTTGTGCTAAAAATGGGATTGTGGCAAATTGATCTCATATTCCAAAGTTATACATTAATTATCTTTGCTTACAGTGTAGTAACAAAATTCTACCAGCACATTCTTGCCTTGGCATTTGCCGTGAAAGAGATAAACGAGAACCCCAAGTTTTGTCCTAATATCACTCTCGGCTTCCACATCTATGATAGCTACTATGATGCCAGAATGACCTATCGTACCACTCTTGACCTGCTCTTCAAATCACATAGATTTGTTCCCAACTACAAATGTGACACCCAGAAAAATCTCATAGCCATCATTGGGGGACTTAGCGCTGACACCTCCTTCCATATGGCTGCCACAATTGGCCTCTACAAGATTCCACAGGTAGGATCTCTGAAAAGGTATAAAAAAATTACACACATGCCTTACCATTCTGGGAGTCATTTTGAACTTTAGAAAAAGGAAGGGTTTTTGACTGACATTTAAATCTGATTTTTTTTAATTGACGCTACGGTTGTTGTTATTATTATTATTATTTCAGATTGCAGAGCTTTAAGTTGACCTGAGCTTTCTGCAACTCCACCCCATCTGGTTTAAGGTGGGTCTAGTACATCTCTGTGCATCCCCCTACAAGCGCCATTTTCCCTAGCATTCCATTTCTAGCCAATCCATTCCCATCTCCATGTCAGCCATAAGGAGGACACATGCTTGCTCCATGAACAAATCTGGGGCTGGAAATTACAGCTCCCAACCTCCTCCCCTGCCACACTCACTGAAACAAAAGGGAAATCACTGCCTTCTAACATCCTTCTGTCACATGCACTTACGATCTCAATTCTTTCAAAGTTGTTGCTTCTTCTTCAACTTCATCCCAAGCTTCCTAGCCCTTTTTTCCTTCCTGGCCCTTTGTCCCTTCCTTGTCTGTTCTAGTTATCTGTTTTCCTCCATTCATTTACTTTTTATTTTCCCCTTTCCTTTCAGTTATAAAAACCTTTTGGGAGTGAGTAGGGGCCATTGTTTTGTTTTGTTTTGTTCTCGTTTATATTTGCTATTTTGTGTTTTTATTTCACATTTTTATGCTGAAAACACCCCGAGATCTTCAGATGAAGGCCAATACGCTAACTAACTACCTAACTACCTACATAACTAACTAACTTCTTGGATTTAACCCACAAATTCCTTAAAATGTATTTTTTTTTTAATAAACAGGCATCTGCTGCTAAACAATCTCTTTAACGTACTTACATTTTCTTTTAGCTCACATATGGATCATTTCCCCCAGACAAAAATTATGGAAGTCAAGTACCATTTTACCGCATGGTGCCCAATGAAGCCCATCAGCATATGGGGATTATCAGTTTGCTTAAGCATTTCAGATGGACGTGGGTTGGGCTCTTCACTGTCGATGATAATAGTGGAGAACATTTCTTGAAGACTCTGGAGCCATTACTTTCCCATAATGGAATCTGTTTAGCCTTCACACAAAGAATCCCACAAATACCCCGTTTTGATGACTTGGATGAAGTTCATGATATAGTTTTAAATATTTATGTTCATTTAACAGATGACAAAGCCAATGTATTTATGATGTATGGAGAATCTCTGACAATTATATGGCTCAGAAGTATTCTATTTCTAAGCGATACTGAAAATAAGGAAATATCATCATTTAAAAAGGTGTGGATTATAACAACTCAGATTGATTTCATATCAACAGTATTTCAAAGGAGTTGGGGCCTTCAGATCTTCCAAGGTGCTATTTCCTTCACTATTCATTCACAAAACCTCCTGCAGTTCCAAGAATTTCTTCAGGGAATAAGACTTTACTGGACACAGGGAGATGGGTTTTTCAAGGATTTCTGGGAGCAAGCATTTGATTGTACATTTCCAAATCCCAGGGTGCCAATAGAGGTCAATGACATGTGCACTGGGGAGGAAAGGTTGCAGAGTCTTCCAGGGTCTGTATTTGAAATGAGTATGACTGGCCACAGCTACAGTATCTACCAGGCTGTTTACGTTGTGGCTCGTGTTTTGCAAGGCATATACTTGACTAGCTTAAAGAAAAGGGCAACAGGAAACAGTGGAATATTAAAAATTCAAGATCTGCAGCCTTGGCAGGTAATGTATTTGAATTGAAGAGTAGCAAAATATAGGACAATTTCAGTGAACAGATTTGTTGTTGTTGTTTAGTCGTTTAGTCGTGTCTGACTCTTCGTGACCCCATGGACCAGAGCACACCAGGCACTCCTGTCTTCCACTGCCTCCTGCAGTTTGGTCAGACTCATGTTTGTAGCTTCAAGAACACTGTCCAACCATCTCGTCCTCTTGTGCCCTCGATCTTTCCCAACATCAGGGTCTTTTCCAGGGAGTCTTTCCTTCTCATGAGGTGGCCAAAGTATTGGAGCCTCAGCTTCACAATCTGTCCTTCCAGCGAGCACTCAGGGCTGATTTCCTTAAGAATGGATAGGTTTGATCTTCTTGCAGTCCATGGTACTCTCCTCCATGAGTCTCCTCCAGCACCATAATTCAAAAGAATCAATCCTTTGGTGATTCTTTATGATCCAGCTCTCACTTCCATACATCACTAATGGGAAAACCATGGCTTTAACTATACGGACCTTTGTTGGCAAGGTGATGTCTCTGCTTTTTAAGCTGCTGTCTAGGTTTGTCATTGCCTTTCTCCCAAGGAGCAGGGGTCTTTTAATTTGGTGACTGCTGTCACCATCTGCAGTGATCATGGAGCCCAAGAAAGTAAAATCTCTCACTGCCTCCATTTCTTCCCTATTCTTTGGCAGGAGGTGATGGGCCCAGGGGCCATGATCTTCATTTTTTTGATGTTGAGCTTCGGACCATATTTTGCGCTCTCCTCTTTCACCCTCATTAAAAGGTTCTTTAATTCCTCCTCACTTTCTGCTATCAAGGTTGTGTCATCTGCATATCTGAGGTTGTTGATATTTCTTCTGACGATCTTAATTCCGGCTTGGGATTCATCCAGCCCAGCCTTTCGCATGATGAATTCTGCATATAAATTAAATAAGCCGGGAGACAATATACAGCCTTGCCGTACTCCTTTCCCAAATTTTGAACCAAAATTGTTCCATATGCAGTTCTAACTGTAGCTTCTTCTCCCACATAGAGATTTCTCAGGAGACAGATGAGGTGATGAACAGATTGGTAAAAAGTAAAAGGTTGATCACAATTGCCAGAAACAAGTGGCTGCTGAAATGTTATTGCGTGTCTCATTCACTGAAAAATATTTACTATCAAACAACTGATTCATGCTTGGTCTTTGTTAGAAGATGCTACATAAGTATATGTAAATAATATCCCTAAAGAATGGTGGCAGATAATCATGGCATTTTATCAAAAACTCTATATTGTTATTTTCCTTTCATGTATTTTGTCTCTTTCCTTAGCTGCACCATTTTTTCCATGATATTTCATTTAACAACTCAGCTGGAGAAAGAGTATCATTTACTGATAAGAGAGAAATGCGAGGTGGATTTGACATTATGAACATGGTCACATTCCCAAATAAGTCTTTCATTCAATTGAAAATAGGATCGGTGAATCCCTATGCTCTTGATGGAAAAGAATTCATCATTCATGAGGACAAGATTATGTGGCCCAAAGGTTTTAAACAGGTCTGGCATCTGGGGTCATTCAGGTGTCTCAACATAACCATCACTGATTTCTTTCATAAACACATGGAAATAATTTTGGTACCAGCTGGATGCAATTATAACCTTCCAAAACAAAACTAATCTTTTGTTTTAATAATGTTAACTATGCCACATTTATACATGGCAGTGCTTACATTAGATAGATAAAAAAACTGAGGCAAAAATAGTTGATATCCCTTTTAAATGATAAGTGGGCATAGCACTTTTGAAGGGCACATTTTAATAGATAGGTAGTGCTGTAAATTTCCATTGGTTTGACTTCACCCCGAAGGTCCACTCTTCCATTGTCTCCTGACACAGATCAGTACTGACCAAACCCTAACCATTTCTGTATTCCTAAAGTGTTATTACCGCTCACCCAGTCTGGCTTAGAAAAGTGACTTGGGCTAGGTTTTCGATGTGTATCAGCATTAGTGATGCACTGCCATATAATGTAGATTGTCTATCATTTGCCGGCGCCCCCCCCCCCATCCTTCTTCTTCACCATATGCAATTTTAGGTAAAGTGATCACCATTGCTTAGGCCAAGTAGGTTTTTTCTCTCCTATGATTGTCTTGATGGTTTGGGTGGGGGAGGGATTTTCCAACTTCATTGGAAACCTTACAAGCAATACTGGGTAGGTACAGTTAGTGGAGGCAGTCTGGTAAGTGCATCTCAGATGAATTCTGGTTTCAGAGACTTTTCCAAAGGCTCTGTGACCTGTGTGGATGACTTTTACATTAACTTGTGTCATTAGCTTGCTGGTGTTGGCCTCAAAGTGTCTGTGAATCATGAATTCTTCACTCTATCATGACAGGCTTAGGAGCTTGAGGAAAATTTTAAATATTTCCCACACATGGTCTTTTCTCTATGCAATTTTCTCTGTGCCAAAACTCTTCCTGGGTCTTATGGATATACAGTTAGAAAATGACCATGGAACTTTGCTACAATATAGGATTATGGATGGAAGACTTTTATATGGACAAAGATGGAAGGATCCATTATTCTAACAATGGAATAGCTGTTAAAACTAATTATAACATTTTGATTTGAGGATAGAAGGTAATGTTTCTGTACAGAAAGTGGCTTTCTAGGAGTTTTATTGGAGTGGGTAAAGTGAATATTGTTTATTTATAGCAGACAGAGGAAGAACCAGAAGTCAGTTCCATTCTAAATTTTATTACTCTCTCTCGTTTAACAACTTTTCTATTTATTTTTCTTTGTTTCTCTCTTTCTCTTTCTTTATCCATTTCTTACTCCCACATCTCTTTATGTTTTTATTGTATTCAGATCAAAGTCTTAGTTTGGACAAAAAAAGAGAGGGAAGATATTTGATATTAAGTTTTGTATTTTTATCTATAAACCCTCATAAAGTTTATTTAAAAACCCCTCTCCAAAAAAATAAGATAATTTCCTGTTGATAGGTGGTGCCTATTTCTGTGTGCAATGACTACTGTCACCCCGGTAATCGGAAGAAAAGGAAGGAAGGGCAGAAATTTTGCTGCTACGATTGTGTTCCATGTCCAGATGGGAAGATTTCAAACCAGAATGGTAAATGGGTTACAGATGCTTCAGGTTACAGACTCCGCTAACCCAGAAATAGTACCTCAGGTTAAGAACTTTGCTTCAGGATGAGAACAGAAATTTCACGGCGGTCATGCAGCGGCATAAGGAGGCCCCATTAGCTAAAGTGGTATCTCAGGTTAAGAACAGTTTCAGGTTAAGAATGGACCTCCAGAACGAATTAAGCTCTTAACCCGATGTACCACTGTATTGAATAACACTGGTTGGTTTAGGAAAGTCACAGCTCCGAGACAGATGAACCGAAGACTTGGGAGCTGTTGGGAGTAGAGCCAGGTGAGACAGAGCAGCCAGCTGACACGACATCACTGGAGAGCATTTTTGACCCTCTTCTCCAAGAACTCAGCGTTCATTGAGGGTTCATTGAGCAAAGGACTCAGAGACAGCTCCTGGCAGCCACCATCAGGGGAAGTGCTGTTGTTGGAAGGGAGGCAGGAGGAGCTCATTTGGAGAAAAACCATTAATCGGAAGGCAGACTGATTCCTTTGTCTCACGCGGTGATAATTTAACAAACTCATTAGTAAGAACTCTATCTAGTTTTTCTCTGCTCCTTGCGTCCACCGGGGGAGGGAGAGAATGACCTGGATTCTGACAAGAGGAATGATAACTTAGATTTAAGAGGCAAAGAACACTCATGAATTGCAATTGGAGTTTGGCCTTATGCTATTTTTTCAGATATGGATGACTGCTTCAGATGCCCAGAAGATCAGTATGCAAACAAGAACAAAAATGGATGCATTCCCAAGTTAATAATCTTTCTTTCCTATAAGGAACCTTTAGGGATTGGCTTAACATCAGTTGCTGTTCTTTGTTCCCTAATTACAATTTTGGTGCTGGGAACTTTTATTAAACACAAAGACACTCCGATTGTCAAAGCTAACAACAGGGATCTCACCTATGCTCTCCTCATTGCCCTCCTACTCTGCTTCCTCTCATCCTTTCTATTCATTGGACACCCTGGCAAAATGACCTGCCTTCTTCGACAACCCACTTTTGGCATCATCTTCTCCGTGGCTGTTTCTTGTGTGTTGGCCAAAACCATCACTGTAGTTGCAGCTTTCATGGCCACCAAGCCTGGGTCCACTATGAGGAAGTGGGTGGGAAAAAGACTGAGCAACTCCATTGTCCTTTCCGGCTCACTCATTCAAGTGAGTATTTGTACTGGGTGGTTGATGACCTCTCCCCCATTCCCTGATCTAGACATGAACTCAGTAACAGAGGAAACCATTGTGCAATGTAATGAAGGCTCAGTGACCATGTTTTACTGTGTCCTGGGCTACATGGGCCTCCTGGCCATTGCCAGCTTCATTGTGGCATTTGCAGCTCGCAAATTACCTGACAGTTTTAATGAAGCCAAGTTCATTACCTTCAGCATGTTGCTGTTCTGCAGTGTTTGGCTTTCTTTTGTTCCAACCTATCTGAGCACCAAAGGAAAATCCATGGTGCTGGTGGAGATCTTCTCCATCTTGTCCTCCAGCGCTGGATTGTTGGGCTGCATCTTTGCCCCCAAATGCTACATCATTGTTCTGAAGCCTGAGCTGAACAACAGGGAGCAACTTATAAGGAGAAAAATGTAAATATTTCTCCTAAGTATTGCATCGTAGTTCTTTATTCTATTAAGGAGTTTAGTATAAAGTTTTTACTATAAGTACCTCTGGTCTCTAACTCTTTTGTGGGAAAAGTACAAGCATGTACTAAAAAGTTCAAATTTGTGAAATTAAAGTGGATTAAATGTTATGTCAACCTAGCACATTGGTAGGGGACCTCTGGCTGGTGGGCCAACGTTCATCTAGGAATGATTCCAATTGCCAGACCATTCCTGACAATCCACACTCATCTAACCCTCATCTGACTATACAATTGACAGTAAGTGTGGCAAAGGTACCAATTATTTCAGAGGAACAATCCAGAGCTTAAAGTGAGTTCCTGATTGTGCTTTGCCATAAGAAGCAGCAACTGCTAGGAAGATGGGTGCAAAGGCTCAATTCTGCAGTGGAAGACACTATCTGCTCCAAGAGGATGCATCTGTGGAAATGTGCCTTCAAATAGACTCATTGCCGGGCATTGCGACACCAAGTGATTGAAAGGTGGAGCCCTCCAGATGCTGATAAACTACAACTTTTATCTCAAGCAGGTCTGGCTAGTGGCTAGGGGTGATGAGAGTTATAGGTCAGCAAAATTTGGAGGGCCAAATGTTCCCCACAACCTGCATTATATAACACATAAATGATATTTAGATTAAAACACCTGCATTTAGAATATTTATTTTAACATTATTGTTTAATTTATTGTTCAGTGTTCTATGTCACACCCTCAAGTTTATTGTTAATAAAGTGACAGTTTATGTCTCATGAGATTCATTTCCAGGTGTGCTGGCAATATGCGTAACTTTTTTTAAAAAAAACCATGTTATTGATAAAGCCACTTCCGGCCTGCCCAGGAGGTGGGGTTGCGGGCTTCACGCCCACCCACCACATGAGCAGGGGCTGGTTTCAGCCCCCGCGAGAGCAGGGGAATCCCGGCCGTGTCTGCCCTATTTAGGGCCGGCGAAGAGGGGGCTCGCCCTCTTTTCGCCGGCTAGCCCCCACGTTTTCCCACCCTCCCTCCCTTTAGGTAGGTCTCTGACTTTGCTATGGACTTCGGTCTGTCGCCGCATGGGGCATGGTAGGAATTTTTCCCAATTGGCAATTTACAGCCATTTGGTTTCTCGCCTACCTCGTAGCAACTCGTCACAACTCTTCGGCATTGGCGGTAGGCATTGGTAAGAAGGGGTTAAGAGGATGTGGGGGGGAGGAACGCCATCACCTCCCCCCAGTGAGCGAAGGGTGGTCCGTTAAAGGACTCTGGGGGGCTTGGCCCTGTCCAAAGCCTATGGAGGTGTGGGCCAAAGGCACGCCCCCGAGCAGTGACCCGGGGGAGCTCCTAGTCGACGTGCCTTGGCAGGAGACTCCCCTGATATAGTGTCAACCCTTCCCCGTGTCTCCAGCAAATGGGCTGCAGCCGGATAGTCGTTAGAACCAATGCCTAAGCCAATGCCTCTCATTCCTGAATTCAATAAAGTTGTGGCCTAATTCGCCCAGTTAACCTTAAACTATGGTGGTTCGTGTCTTTATTTATCCTGGTGGGGGGCGGGAACTCGCCACGCAACATTGATAAAGGTTATCCTATTTTCCTGTCAGCCACAATCTCAGTTTGCATTAAAGGAGCTTGTACTAGATGACTCTTGAGGTCTCTCCCAACTCTAGAATTCTGTGATGCCCAAGAATGGAAGGCAGCTTCTCCATTCCCTGCTTTTAAAGAGGTCCAAATCAAAGAAATGGAGACCAGGTGTTTCCTCCTCAAAACATATTCTCCATAGCAGGTCATATTGGTTTGTCGGTTGACAGGCAAAGTGGTCAAACTTGTGGTTTCCTCTATAGGTCCCCTCCGGCCACCTTCCCACAGCTGAACTGCCAAACACATTTTAATTACCACTGTGGGGAATTAGGTAGGATATGCATTTTAAATGATGGATGCAGATTTAGTTTACAGATTAAAGAGATTTACTATTCATTCATATATATTTATACCACACTCTTCCTCCCAGAGCAGCAAATAAGCAAGAACAACATCTTGAAAACACTTCTGGGCAATTGTAAACTGATTCTATTAATTTATAGATGCCATACATAGAGATGCCCCTTCATGGATCACTGCCTTGCTGTGGCGAAGGCGCTTGAATAACTCAGAGAAGCTATGAGCTATGCCATGCAGGGCCACCCAAGATATACAGGTCATAGTGGAGAGTTTTGACCAAACGTGATCCACCTGGAGCAGGAACCGGCAAGCCACTCCAGTATCCCTGCCAAGAAAACTCCATGGACAAAGACAACAGGCATATAAAAGTTATGACACTGGAAGATGAGCCCCTCAGGTCGGAAGGCGTCCAACATGCTACTGAGGAAGAGCGGAGGACAAGTACAAGTAGATTCAGAGCTGATGAAGCGGCTGGGCCAAAGCCGAAAGGACGCTCAGTTGCGGATATGCCTGGAAGCGAAAGGAAAGTCCAATGCTGAAAGGAAAATATTGCATAGGAACCTGGAATGTAAGAACCACAACCTTGGTAAGTTTGATGTGGTCAAAAATGAGATGGCAAAAATAAATATTGACATCCTGGGCATCAGTGAACTAAAATGGACGGGAATGGGCGAATTCAGTTCGGATGACCATCATATCTACTACTGTGGGCAAGAATCTCATAAAAGAAATGGAGTGGCCCTCATAGTCAACAAAAGAGTGGCAAAAGCTGTACTGGGATGCAATCTCAAAAATGATAGAATGATCTCGATATGGATCCAAGGCAGACTTTTTAACATCACAGTAATCCAAGTTTATGTACCAACCAGTGGTGCTGAAGAAACTGAAATTAACCAATTCTATGAAGACTTACAAGACCTTATAGAAATGACACCAAAGAATGATGTTCTTCTCATTATAGGGGATTGGAATGCTAAAGTAGGGAGTCAAGAGATAAAAGGAACAACTGGCAAGTTTGGCCTTGGAGTTCAAAACGAAGCAGGGCAAAGGCTAATAGAGTTCTGCCAAGAGAACAAGCTGGTCATCACAAACACTCTTTTCCAACAACACAAGAGACGACTCTACACATGGACATCACCAGATGGGCAGCATCGAAATCAGATTGATTATATTCTCTGCAGCCAAAAATGGAGAAGCTCTATACAGTCAGCAAAAACAAGACCTGGAGCTGACTGTGGCTCAGATCATCAGCTTCTTATAGCAAAATTCAAGCTTAAACTGAAGAAAGTAGGAAAAACCACTGGGCCGGTAAGATACAATCCAAGTCAAATCCCTTATGAATACACAGTGGAAGTGAGGAACAGGTTTAAGGATTTAGATTTGGTGGACAGAATGCCTGAAGAACTATGGATGGAGGCTCGTAACATTATACAGGAGGCAGCAACGAAAACCATCCCAATGAAAAGGAAATGCAAGAAAGCAAAGTGGCTGTCCAACGAGGCCTTACAAATAGCGGGAGAGAGAAGGCAAGCAAAATGCGAGGGAGATAGTGAAAGATACAGGAAATTGAGTGCAGATTTCCAAAAATAGCAAGGCGAGACAAGAAGGCCTTCTTAAATGAGCAATGCAAAGAAATAGAGGAAAACAATAGAATGGGAAAAACCAGAGATCTGTTCAAGAAAATTGGAGATATGAAAGGAACATTTCGTACAAAGATTACCATAATAAAAGACAAAAGTGGAAAGGAACTAACAGAAGCAGAAGACATCAAGAAGAGGTGGCAAGAATACACAGAGGAACTATACCAGAAAGAAATGGATGCCTCGTATACCCCAGGTAGTGTGGTTGCTGACCTTGAGCCAGACATCCTGGAGAGTGAAGTCAAATGGGCCTTAGAAAGCACTGCTAATAACAAGGCCAGTGGAAGTGATGATATTCCAGCTGAACTATTTAAAGTTTTAAAAGATGATGCTGTTAAGGTGCTACACTGAATATGCCAGCAAATTTGGAAACCTCAGCAGTGGCCAGAGGATTGGAGAAGATCAGTCTACATCCCAATCCCAAAGAAGGGCAGTGCCAAAGAATGCTCCAACTACTGCACAATTGCACTCATTTCACACGCTAGCAAGGTTATGCTTAAAATTCTACAAGGCAGGCTTAAGCAGTATGTGAACAGAGAACACCCAGAAGTGCAAGCTGGATTTTGAAGGGGCAGAGGAAACAGAGACCAAATTGCAAACATGCGCTGGATTATGGAGAAAGCTAGAGAGTTCCAGAAATAATAATACACACACACACACACACACACACACACACACAATAATGGTTATTCCATCTGAAACACAACTGTTGACATTCCTTAAGATTAAAATTTACTATTGGCCCTCATTTTCTCTCTCACTCTCTGAGATTTATTTGTTAGAGGAGAGATAAGGAAACATTGCCCCGCACCATATCAGCCACTGCCAACATGGTCAGTGGTGGGAAATGAGGGAAGCTTTATTCCAGCAGCACCTGGAACCCCACAGGCTCCGCATTCTTGGCAAAAAGAAATTGTAGCTTCACATTTCTTTGATAAAACTGCAGCTGACCAGCCATCTTTCATCAAAGCTAAAAGTTTCAGTCCTACTTTTCTTTTGGTGTTTGCTCACCATGGAAAATTGTATTTGTCACTTTTTCTGTCCCTAAGGAGCAGATGATGGAAAGTGGGGGCAGCTCAGCATGTTTGTTAGCAAAACTCCTACTTACAGCCAAAGCAATGAAAAAGTAACTATCTCACCCAGCAATTATCCAAATCACTATACTTTGTTCTCTTCTCTGAACGTTCCCAGGCTTCCTAGAACTCAAGAAATCAGTCAATAAGCAAACCTCAAAGTGGTTATAAAGAAACCCCATGCTATTGGGAGCAGGACACAGGGATAATGCTCATGTGTCACACACACACACACACACACACACACACACACACACACACAATATTGATCAGATTTAGGATCACAAAGTTGGCAATCCTGGCTAATAAGATATACAGCTGTAACCCTTTGATTCTCAAATGCTGGTTGTAAAACATTCTTCTAAAGCTGTATTGACAGAGCTAGGAATTACCCAATGTAGCCTGTTCAAGTCATGCAGCTGCTCTGAAAGTAAACAGGACCGGGTGTGTTTAGAGAAAAGTCTGACCACGAGGATGCTGTGGCTATTGATGTTATCTCTTCTCCCTCCTGCTGTGTGCAAAGTAGATACTCTTAGGTGTCCCATGAATTATCCATTCCCTGCTCCACATCAGTGGTACCAACCAGGTGGCTTCATCATTGGTGGGATTGCTTCTCAGGTCTATTATGTCTTCAATGAAGTTTCCTTCAAGGAGCACCCTTCACAGAATATGTTTGATGTTCCATTGTAAGAGCCTTTCCCCTCTTTGCATCATTCCAAATCTCCTTTGCTTTTGTGTCATGTGTTTTAGATTGCAAATCTGAAGAGATATTGTCTTAGTTATTTTTTCAGGTGCTGTGGTAATCTGGGGAAAAAATTGAAATGATAAGACTAGAGGCATGTCTAAAGTTGTCTTTCAATTTCTCAAAAGTTTTCTTCCGACATTAAAGAATCCTAAGTTTTTCTGCATTTGCAGGGAACTTTAGTAATTTTTCAAGGTATGAGGTTAAGCTTATCTCATTGTTGTGCAGTGGACAATATGTGTGTATATATTTTATTTACAAATCTATTTTAAATATATATATATATATATGATTATTTTATAAAAAATATCAAAGTAGCTTACATCAGAAATACATAAAATCAAGCAGTAAGCAAAGTTAAAAGCCATATTAAAAAGCTAAATGTGTGCATGTTTTTCTTTCTAGTAAACATTTATACAATGCTTTCAAATTGCCTCCTCTGTGGAAGGAGATAACTCATGTTGTATTTCCCTGAGTTTTAAAATAATGTTGGGAGATGGTGAGTCTGGCTGGTAAGCCCCTGGGATTAGTGGTCTTGCTGATTTTTTTTAATAAAGGAATATTCTTCATTTTGCCTAAATAAACAATTTCTCCCCTTTAGATAAATAAATAAAAGTACTTTATAATATGTAGCAAACGACAACTTTCAGGAGTATAGTAGACTGTCTCCCAAGATTCCCACTGGGGAACCAAGAGAACTGAGAAGGTCAAGAAAGTAATTGATAGCATGTGTTTCAAAGTGTTAGGCATGCTCTGAGAGAGCATAATCTTTATATGAACTGCACTGAGTTTAATAATTTAGAAACATCAATGACATTTAAAATAATTTCAGGTCAATCTTAATCAGTTTGTGCTAAAAATGGGATTGTGGCAAATTGATCTCATATTCCAAAATTGTACATTAATTATCTTTGCTTACAGTGTAGTAACAAAATTCTACCAGCACATTCTTGCCTTGGCATTTGCCGTGAAAGAGATAAACGAGAACCCCAAGTTTTGTCCTAATATCACTCTCGGCTTCCACATCTATGATAGCTACTATGATGCCAGAATGACCTATCGTACCACTCTTGACCTGCTCTTCAAATCACATAGATTTGTTCCCAACTACAAATGTGACACCCAGAAAAATCTCATAGCCATCATTGGGGGACTTAGCGCTGACACCTCCTTCCATATGGCTGACACAATTGGCCTCTACAAGATTCCACAGGTAGGATCTCTGAAAAGGTATAAAAAAATTACACACATGCCTTACCATTCTGGGAGTCATTTTGAACTTTAGAAAAAGGAAGGGTTTTTGACTGACATTTAAATCTGATTTTTTTTAATTGACGCTACGGTTGTTGTTATTATTATTATTATTTCAGATTGCAGAGCTTTAAGTTGACCTGAGCTTTCTGCAACTCCACCCCATCTGGTTTAAGGTGGGTCTAGTACATCTCTGTGCATCCCCCTACAAGCGCCATTTTCCCTAGCATTCCATTTCTAGCCAATCCATTCCCATCTCCATGTCAGCCATAAGGAGGACACATGCTTGCTCCATGAACAAATCTGGGGCTGGAAATTACAGCTCCCAACCTCCTCCCCTGCCACACTCACTGAAACAAAAGGGAAATCACTGCCTTCTAACATCCTTCTGTCACATGCACTTACGATCTCAATTCTTTCAAAGTTGTTGCTTCTTCTTCAACTTCATCCCAAGCTTCCTAGCCCTTTTTTCCTTCCTGGCCCTTTGTCCCTTCCTTGTCTGTTCTAGTTATCTGTTTTCCTCCATTCATTTACTTTTTTATTTTCCCCTTTCCTTTCAGTTATAAAAACCTTTTGGGAGTGAGTAGGGGCCATTGTTTTGTTTTGTTTTGTTCTCGTTTATATTTGCTATTTTGTGTTTTTATTTCACATTTTTATGCTGAAAACACCCCGAGATCTTCAGATGAAGGCCAATACGCTAACTAACTACCTAACTACCTACATAACTAACTAACTTCTTGGATTTAACCCACAAATTCCTTAAAATGTATTTTTTTTTTAATAAACAGGCATCTGCTGCTAAACAATCTCTTTAACGTACTTACATTTTCTTTTAGCTCACATATGGATCATTTCCCCCAGACAAAAATTATGGAAGTCAAGTACCATTTTACCGCATGGTGCCCAATGAAGCCCATCAGCATATGGGGATTATCAGTTTGCTTAAGCATTTCAGATGGACGTGGGTTGGGCTCTTCACTGTCGATGATAATAGTGGAGAACATTTCTTGAAGACTCTGGAGCCATTACTTTCCCATAATGGAATCTGTTTAGCCTTCACACAAAGAATCCCACAAATACCCCGTTTTGATGACTTGGATGAAGTTCATGATATAGTTTTAAATATTTATGTTCATTTAACAGATGACAAAGCCAATGTATTTATGATGTATGGAGAATCTCTGACAATTATATGGCTCAGAAGTATTCTATTTCTAAGCGATACTGAAAATAAGGAAATATCATCATTTAAAAAGGTGTGGATTATAACAACTCAGATTGATTTCATATCAACAGTATTTCAAAGGAGTTGGGGCCTTCAGATCTTCCAAGGTGCTATTTCCTTCACTATTCATTCACAAAACCTCCTGCAGTTCCAAGAATTTCTTCAGGGAATAAGACTTTACTGGACACAGGGAGATGGGTTTTTCAAGGATTTCTGGGAGCAAGCATTTGATTGTACATTTCCAAATCCCAGGGTGCCAATAGAGGTCAATGACATGTGCACTGGGGAGGAAAGGTTGCAGAGTCTTCCAGGGTCTGTATTTGAAATGAGTATGACTGGCCACAGCTACAGTATCTACCAGGCTGTTTACGTTGTGGCTCGTGTTTTGCAAGGCATATACTTGACTAGCTTAAAGAAAAGGGCAACAGGAAACAGTGGAATATTAAAAATTCAAGATCTGCAGCCTTGGCAGGTAATGTATTTGAATTGAAGAGTAGCAAAATATAGGACAATTTCAGTGAACAGATTTGTTGTTGTTGTTTAGTCGTTTAGTCGTGTCTGACTCTTCGTGACCCCATGGACCAGAGCACACCAGGCACTCCTGTCTTCCACTGCCTCCTGCAGTTTGGTCAGACTCATGTTTGTAGCTTCAAGAACACTGTCCAACCATCTCGTCCTCTTGTGCCCTCGATCTTTCCCAACATCAGGGTCTTTTCCAGGAGTCTTTCCTTCTCATGAGGTGGCCAAAGTATTGGAGCCTCAGCTTCACAATCTGTCCTTCCAGCGAGCACTCAGGGCTGATTTCCTTAAGAATGGATAGGTTTGATCTTCTTGCAGTCCATGGTACTCTCCTCCATGAGTCTCCTCCAGCACCATAATTCAAAAGAATCAATCCTTTGGTGATTCTTTATGATCCAGCTCTCACTTCCATACATCACTAATGGGAAAACCATGGCTTTAACTATACGGACCTTTGTTGGCAAGGTGATGTCTCTGCTTTTTAAGCTGCTGTCTAGGTTTGTCATTGCCTTTCTCCCAAGGAGCAGGGGTCTTTTAATTTGGTGACTGCTGTCACCATCTGCAGTGATCATGGAGCCCAAGAAAGTAAAATCTCTCACTGCCTCCATTTCTTCCCTATTCTTTGGCAGGAGGTGATGGGCCCAGGGGCCATGATCTTCATTTTTTTGATGTTGAGCTTCGGACCATATTTTGCGCTCTCCTCTTTCACCCTCATTAAAAGGTTCTTTAATTCCTCCTCACTTTCTGCTATCAAGGTTGTGTCATCTGCATATCTGAGGTTGTTGATATTTCTTCTGACGATCTTAATTCCGGCTTGGGATTCATCCAGCCCAGCCTTTCGCATGATGAATTCTGCATATAAATTAAATAAGCCGGGAGACAATATACAGCCTTGCCGTACTCCTTTCCCAAATTTTGAACCAAAATTGTTCCATATGCAGTTCTAACTGTAGCTTCTTCTCCCACATAGAGATTTCTCAGGAGACAGATGAGGTGATGAACAGATTGGTAAAAGTAAAAGGTTGATCACAATTGCCAGAAACAAGTGGCTGCTGAAATGTTATTGCGTGTCTCATTCACTGAAAAATATTTACTATCAAACAACTGATTCATGCTTGGTCTTTGTTAGAAGATGCTACATAAGTATAGGTAAATAATATCCCTAAAGAATGGTGGCAGATAATCATGGCATTTTATCAAAAACTCTATATTGTTATTTTCCTTTCATGTATTTTGTCTCTTTCCTTAGCTGCACCATTTTTTCCATGATATTTCATTTAACAACTCAGCTGGAGAAAGAGTATCATTTACTGATAAGAGAGAAATGCGAGGTGGATTTGACATTATGAACATGGTCACATTCCCAAATAAGTCTTTCATTCAATTGAAAATAGGATCGGTGAATCCCTATGCTCTTGATGGAAAAGAATTCATCATTCATGAGGACAAGATTATGTGGCCCAAAGGTTTTAAACAGGTCTGGCATCTGGGGTCATTCAGGTGTCTCAACATAACCATCACTGATTTCTTTCATAAACACATGGAAATAATTTTGGTACCAGCTGGATGCAATTATAACCTTCCAAAACAAAACTAATCTTTTGTTTTAATAATGTTAACTATGCCACATTTATACATGGCAGTGCTTACATTAGATAGATAAAAAAACTGAGGCAAAAATAGTTGATATCCCTTTTAAATGATAAGTGGGCATAGCACTTTTGAAGGGCACATTTTAATAGATAGGTAGTGCTGTAAATTTCCATTGGTTTGACTTCACCCCGAAGGTCCACTCTTCCATTGTCTCCTGACACAGATCAGTACTGACCAAACCCTAACCATTTCTGTATTCCTAAAGTGTTATTACCGCTCACCCAGTCTGGCTTAGAAAAGTGACTTGGGCTAGGTTTTCAATGTGTATAAGCATTAGTGATGCACTGCCATATAATGTAGATTGTCTATCATTTGCCGGCGCCCCCCCCCCCATCCTTCTTCTTCACCATATGCAATTTTAGGTAAAGTGATCACCATTGCTTAGGCCAAGTAGGTTTTTTCTCTCCTATGATTGTCTTGATGGTTTGGGGTGGGGGAGGGATTTTCCAACTTCATTGGAAACCTTACAAGCAATACTGGGTAGGTACAGTTAGTGAAGGCAGTCTGGTAAGTGCATCTCAGATGAATTCTGGTTTCAGAGACTTTTCCAAAGGCTCTGTGACCTGTGTGGATGACTTTTACATTAACTTGTGTCATTAGCTTGCTGGTGTTGGCCTCAAAGTGTCTGTGAATCATGAATTCTTCACTCTATCATGACAGGCTTAGGAGCTTGAGGAAAATTTTAAATATTTCCCACACATGGTCTTTTCTCTATGCAATTTTCTCTGTGCCAAAACTCTTCCTGGGTCTTATGGATATACAGTTAGAAAATGACCATGGAACTTTGCTACAATATAGGATTATGGATGGAAGACTTTTATATGGACAAAGATGGAAGGATCCATTATTCTAACAATGGAATAGCTGTTAAAACTAATTATAACATTTTGATTTGAGGATAGAAGGTAATGTTTCTGTACAGAAAGTGGCTTTCTAGGAGTTTTATTGGAGTGGGTAAAGTGAATATTGTTTATTTATCGTGAACAGAGGAAGAACCAGAAGTCAGTTCCATTCTAAATTTTATTACTCTCTCTCGTTTAACAACTTTTCTATTTATTTTTCTTTGTTTCTCTCTTTCTCTTTCTTTATCCATTTCTTACTCCCACATCTCTTTATGTTTTTATTGTATTCAGATCAAAGTCTTAGTTTGGACAAAAAAAGAGAGGGAAGATATTTGATATTAAGTTTTGTATTTTTATCTATAAACCCTCATAAAGTTTATTTAAAAACCCCTCTCCAAAAAAATAAGATAATTTCCTGTTGATAGGTGGTGCCTATTTCTGTGTGCAATGACTACTGTCACCCCGGTAATCGGAAGAAAAGGAAGGAAGGGCAGAAATTTTGCTGCTACGATTGTGTTCCATGTCCAGATGGGAAGATTTCAAACCAGAATGGTAAATGGGTTACAGATGCTTCAGGTTACAGACTCCGCTAACCCAGAAATAGTACCTCAGGTTAAGAACTTTGCTTCAGGATGAGAACAGAAATTTCACGGCGGCCATGCAGCGGCATAAGGAGGCCCCATTAGCTAAAGTGGTATCTCAGGTTAAGAACAGTTTCAGGTTAAGAATGGACCTCCAGAACGAATTAAGCTCTTAACCCGATGTACCACTGTATTGAATAACACTGGTTGGTTTAGGAAAGTCACAGCTCCGAGACAGATGAACCGAAGACTTGGGAGCTGTTGGGAGTAGAGCCAGGTGAGACAGAGCAGCCAGCTGACACGACATCACTGGAGAGCATTTTTGACCCTCTTCTCCAAGAACTCAGCGTTCATTGAGGGTTCATTGAGCAAAGGACTCAGAGACAGCTCCTGGCAGCCACCATCAGGGGAAGTGCTGTTGTTGGAAGGGAGGCAGGAGGAGCTCATTTGGAGAAAAACCATTAATCGGAAGGCAGACTGATTCCTTTGTCTCACGCGGTGATAATTTAACAAACTCATTAGTAAGAACTCTATCTAGTTTTTCTCTGCTCCTTGCGTCCACCGGGGGAGGGAGAGAATGACCTGGATTCTGACAAGAGGAATGATAACTTAGATTTAAGAGGCAAAGAACACTCATGAATTGCAATTGGAGTTTGGCCTTATGCTATTTTTTCAGATATGGATGACTGCTTCAGATGCCCAGAAGATCAGTATGCAAACAAGAACAAAAATGGATGCATTCCCAAGTTAATAATCTTTCTTTCCTATAAGGAACCTTTAGGGATTGGCTTAACATCAGTTGCTGTTCTTTGTTCCCTAATTACAATTTTGGTGCTGGGAACTTTTATTAAACACAAAGACACTCCGATTGTCAAAGCTAACAACAGGGATCTCACCTATGCTCTCCTCATTGCCCTCCTACTCTGCTTCCTCTCATCCTTTCTATTCATTGGACACCCTGGCAAAATGACCTGCCTTCTTCGACAACCCACTTTTGGCATCATCTTCTCCGTGGCTGTTTCTTGTGTGTTGGCCAAAACCATCACTGTAGTTGCAGCTTTCATGGCCACCAAGCCTGGGTCCACTATGAGGAAGTGGGTGGGAAAAAGACTGAGCAACTCCATTGTCCTTTCCGGCTCACTCATTCAAGTGAGTATTTGTACTGGGTGGTTGATGACCTCTCCCCCATTCCCTGATCTAGACATGAACTCAGTAACAGAGGAAACCATTGTGCAATGTAATGAAGGCTCAGTGACCATGTTTTACTGTGTCCTGGGCTACATGGGCCTCCTGGCCATTGCCAGCTTCATTGTGGCATTTGCAGCTCGCAAATTACCTGACAGTTTTAATGAAGCCAAGTTCATTACCTTCAGCATGTTGCTGTTCTGCAGTGTTTGGCTTTCTTTTGTTCCAACCTATCTGAGCACCAAAGGAAAATCCATGGTGCTGGTGGAGATCTTCTCCATCTTGTCCTCCAGCGCTGGATTGTTGGGCTGCATCTTTGCCCCCAAATGCTACATCATTGTTCTGAAGCCTGAGCTGAACAACAGGGAGCAACTTATAAGGAGAAAAATGTAAATATTTCTCCTAAGTATTGCATCGTAGTTCTTTATTCTATTAAGGAGTTTAGTATAAAGTTGTTACTATAAGTACCTCTGGTCTCTAACTCTTTTGTGGGAAAAGTACAAGCATGTACTAAAAAGTTCAAATTTGTGAAATTAAAGTGGATTAAATGTTATGTCAACCTAGCACATTGGTAGGGGACCTCTGGCTGGTGGGCCAACGTTCATCTAGGAATGATTCCAATTGCCAGACCATTCCTGACAATCCACACTCATCTAACCCTCATCTGACTATACAATTGACAGTAAGTGTGGCAAAGGTACCAATTATTTCAGAGGGACAATCCAGAGCTTAAAGTGAGTTCCTGATCGTTCATTTGCCATAAGAAGCAGCAACTGCTAGAAAGATGGATGCAAAGGCTCAATTCTGCAGTGGAAGACACTATCTGCTCCAAGAGGATGCATCTGTGGAAATGTGCCTTCAAATAGACTCATTGCCAGGCATTGCGACACCAAGTGATTGAAAGTTGAAGCCCTCCAGATGCTGAGAAACTACAACCCCCTTTATCCCAAGCAGGTATGGCTAGTGGCTAGGGGTGACAGGAGTTATAGGTCAGCAAAATTTGGAAGGCCAAATGTTCCCCACCACCTGCTTTATATAACAAGTAAATGATATTTAGATGAAAACACTGCATTTAGAATATTTATTTTAACATTATTGTTTAATTTATTGTTCAGTGTTCTATGTCACACCCTCAAGTTTATTGTTAATAAAGTTTTGACAGTTTTTGTGTCATGGAACTCATTTCCAGGTGTGCTGGCAATATGCGTAACTTTTTTTATTTTAAAAAAATGTTATTGATAAAGCCACTTCCGGCCTGCCCAGGAGGTGGGGTTGCGGGCTTCATGCTTCATGCTGGTTTCAGCCCCCGTGAGAGCAGGGGAATCCCGGCCGTGTCTGCCCTACTTAGGGCCAGCGCAGAGGGGGCTCGCCCTCTTTTCCCCGGCTAGCCCCCACGTTTTCCCACCCTCCCTCCCTTTAGGTAGGTCTCTGACTTTGCTATGGACTTCGGTCTGTCGCCGCATGGGGCATGGTAGGAATCTTTCCCAATTGGCAATTTACAGCCATTTGGTTTCTCGCCTACCTCATAGCAACTCGTCACAACTCTTCGGCATTGGAGGTAGGCATTGGTAAGAAGGGGTTAAGAGGATGTGTGTGGGGGAGGAACGCCATCACCTCCCCCCAGTGAGCGAAGGGTGGTCCGTTAAAGGACTCCGGGGGGCTTGGCCCTGTCCAAAGCCTATGGAGGTGTGGGCCAAAGGCACGCCCCCGAGCGGTGACCTGGGGGAGCTCCTAGTCAACGTGCCTTGGCAGGAGACTCCCCCGATATAGTGTTAACCCTTCCCCGTGTCTCCAGCAAATTGGCTGGAGCCGGATAGTCGTTAGAACCAGGGCCTAAGCCAATGCCTCTCATTCCTGAATTCAATAAAGTTGTATCCTAATTCGCCCATTTAACCTTAAACTATGGTGTCTCGTGTCTTTATTTATCCTGGTGGGGGGCGGGAACTCGCCACGCAACATTGATAAAGGTTATCCTATTTTCCTGTCAGCCACAATCTCAGTTTGCATTAAAGGAGCTTGTACTAGATGACTCTTGAGGTCTCTCCCAACTCTAGAATTCTGTGATGCCCAAGAATGGAAGGCAGCTTCTCCATTCCCTGCTTTTAAAGAGGTCCAAATCAAAGAAATGGAGACCAGGTGTTTCCTCCTCAAAACATATTCTCCATAGCAGGTCATATTGGTTTGTCGGTTGACAGGCAAAGTGGTCAAACTTGTGGTTTCCTCTATAGGTCCCCTCCGGCCACCTTCCCACAGCTGAACTGCCAAACACATTTTAATTACCACTGTGGGGAATTAGGTAGGATATGCATTTTAAATGATGGATGCAGATTTAGTTTACAGATTAAAGAGATTTACTATTCATTCATATATATTTATACCACACTCTTCCTCCCAGAGCAGCAAATAAGCAAGAACAACATCTTGAAAACACTTCTGGGCAATTGTAAACTGATTCTATTAATTTATAGATGCCATACATAGAGATGCCCCTTCATGGATCACTGCCTTGCTGTGGCGAAGGGGCTTGAATAACTCAGAGAAGCTATGAGCTATGCCATGCAGGGCCACCCAAGATAGACAGGTCATAGTGGAGAGTTTTGACCAAAGGTGATCCACCTGGAGCAGGAACCGGCAAGCCACTCCGGTATCCCTGCCAAGAAAACTCAATGGACAAAGACAACAGGCATATAAAAGTTATGACACTGGAAGATGAGCCCCTCAGGTCGGAAGATGTCCAACATGCTACTGAGGAAGAGTGGAGGACAAGTACAAGTAGATTCAGAGCTGATGAAGCGGCTGGGCCAAAGCCGAAAGGACGCTCAGTTGCGGATATGCCTGGAAGCGAAAGGAAAGTCCAATGCTGAAAGGAAAATATTGCATAGGAACCTGGAATGTAAGAACCACAACCTTGGTAAGTTTGATGTGGTCAAAAATGAGATGGCAAAAATAAATATTGACATCCTGGGCATCAGTGAACTAAAATGGACGGGAATGGGCGAATTCAGTTTGGATGACCATCATATCTACTACTGTGGGCAAGAATCCCGTAAAAGAAATGGAGTGGCCCTCATAGTCAACAAAAGAGTGGCAAAAGCTGTACTGGGATGCAATCTCAAAAATGATAGAATGATCTCGATATGGATCCAAGGCAGACCTTTTAACATCACAGTAATCCAAGTTTATGCACCAACCACTGGTGCTAAAGAAACTGAAATTAACCAATTCTATGAAGACTTACAAGACCTTATAGAAATGACACCAAAGAAGGATGTTCTACTCATTATAGGGGATTGGAATGCTAAAGTAGGGAGTCAAGAGATAAAAGGAACAACTGGCAAGTTTGGCCTTGGAGTTCAAAACGAAGCAGGGCAAAGGCTAATAGAGTTCTGCCAAGAGAACAAGCTGGTCATCACAAACACTCTTTTCCAACAACACAAGAGACGACTCTACACATGGACATCACCAGATGGGCAGCATCGAAATCAGATTGATTATATTCTCTGCAGCCAAAAATGGAGAAGCTCTATACAGTCAGCAAAAACAAGACCTGGAGCTGACTGTGGCTCAGATCATCAGCTTCTTATAGCAAAATTCAAGCTTAAACTGAAGAAAGTAGGAAAAACCACTGGGCCGGTAAGATACAATCCAAGTCAAATCCCTTATGAATACACAGTGGAAGTGAGGAACAGGTTTAAGGATTAAGATTTGGTGGACAGAATGCCTGAAGAACTATGGATGGAGGCTCATAACATTATACAGGAGGCAGCAAAGAAAACCATCCCAATGAAA